TATGCTTTCACCCCCTCTTACCTTTCTGGACACATTAATGTTTTTCAACGACTCTAGATTTCGACAATTTTCTGACGTGAACGCACCTGGATATGGAGTGTATCTTTTTAGGAACTTTTATTGAACTGCCTAGAAACTATGATAAACTGGTGGTATTTCTTTTATGACGTGGGTAAAATTTGGGCAGCTAGACGATCTTAACTGGTGGTATGTTAAGGGGACGGTTGCCGATGCCTGATAGATCATAAGCTGTAAGCAAGAATTTCTACTTGTCTACTACACCAGTGATCAGTTTGCCAGGTAAGATTGTCTTTATGCAAGCTGGGGTTTATGGTCATTCAGACAGAGTTCCAAAGTGTTAGCAGGAAGATCAAGCCATCACCAATCTTCCCGTAACTATGTAGTTATTGAATATCCACCCTATTGAGTGCGTATAGTCCATCTCTGATCATTTCCTGTGAAAGAGTTCCAAACAACAATCAACTTCTACGGAAATCATCAAATTTCTTCGCCAGGAGTGGAGTGCAGTCCCACAGTTCCAGATTTAGGATATCACAAATGCCATGTAAAACCGCTTTTTTTTGCTTTGCATACTACAAAGGGTATCGAAACCCGGTTTCTAGTTGTATAAGTCCGCAGACATACCACTGTGCCACTGAAGGGCTACATAGATTAACTTACTAATATAAACACCATATTTAGGAAATCACGCACTAGTCAGTTGCCAATCAATAAACATTTTTGTAATTGTGATGAAAGATATATAAAGCTTCACGATTCTAATTTCCAAGTTTTTCTCCTTTTAGATTTTGTGTCGAAAAATTAAGGAGACATACTTATGTAAAGGTATTTTATTCATCGCTTTTTTATTTAATGAATTGCAGTTCATAGCTGGATACAGAATATCCTAGAAGGTGATTGTTTACATTTTGCAAAAATTACATAAATGAAGTCTTTTTCTGGAGACACCGTGCCTATATTTTGTTCAGCGTCTGTACGCTGTATAGGAAGTTTTAAATATTCCTCTAAATACTTTTTGGCTATTTTTTGAGCTTATTCAATTAAAGTCTTTTAAAAAAAATCCATGAAATGGTAACTGTCTATTTATTTTTTTTTGTTATTAAGGATTTTATTTTATGAAACGTCATCAACATTTTGTCTATAGCATAATATTATGTCCATTTGTTGCGCTAACATCTTATACCAAGAAAAACTAATGATGATAAGCGACCTACTTAATTCATAACAAGTTTAAAAATATTTATTTCTTATTTTCTTTTCGTCATTAAAATGTGAATTTCGGCGAAGATGATGCTGAGGTCTAATTTATTTATTAATTCGCTATATACTTCCACTGCAGTAGACTAGTTTCGTCGAATTCACCGTTCATCAGAACAAAGCAAATAAATAAAGTAGGCCTCATATAGGGGTGGAATGTAAACAGTTTGTTTGGTTTAAATGTATATAAATATATACCGGTAACTTTTACTGTGACGAATGATTCAATTTCCCATAGTTTAATTTGAAAACAAATATTTTCAATATTTATACAATTTTTAAGCATTGCAGCACCATTAGTTGCGCGTGTTTTATACATAAAAAAAAAAAGAATTTGGATAATTCGTAATGGAGAAGCAGCTTTGCCCTTTCTAAAGTGGCCCGGCATGGCCAGGTGGTTAGGGCGGGTTTGAATCCCCGTCACACCGAATATATTTGCCCTTTCAGCCGTGAGGGCGTTATAATGTGACAGTCGGTCAATACCACTATTCGTGGGTAAAATAGTAGCCCAAGAGTTGGCGGTTGGTGCTGAATACCTATTTCCCTCTAAGTCTTACACTGTTAAATTAGGGACGGCTAGTGCAGAATGCCCTCGTGTAGCTTTGCGCGAAATTCATAACAAACAAACAATCCCTTTCTAAAGTCGTTTTTAATCAACTCTCCAGAACTGGAGATTTGTTTGTGTTGCCCCAAAGAGACTAAACAGACACCATGTCATTTATTTTGACTACTTGTAAAGTCAGTTGGTTCGTTTTCTAATGCAAAGCCATACCATGTGTTACTGTGCTCTGTCCTCCACAAGGAACTGAACTTCGGATAGTGGTGTCTAAGTCCGTAAACTTACCGCTGACACGCTGGAGTACTTTGTTCTCAGTTCAGGAAGTGTTTTTAACACAAACAACTGCAAATCACTAACTAATAACTTTTTCTGTCTATCTGTATGTTTGTTGTTAAGCGCAAAGCTTCACAATGGGTTATTTTTGTTCTGTTCAACGTGGGTATCGAAACGTGAGCCCTAAGTCTTACCACTGAGCCACAACGGGGGTGTCGAAACGTGGGCCCAAAGTCTTATCACTGAGCCACAACGTGGGCATCGAAACGTGGGCCGTAAGTCTTACCACTGAGCCATAACGTGGGCATCGAAACGTGGGCCCTAAGTCTTACCACTGAGCCACAACGTGGGTATCGAAACGTGTGCCCTAAGGCTTACCACTGAGCCACAACGTGGCTAGCCGTATTTAGTCCCGTTATTTTATGAATGTGATAGTTTAATCAATGAAACTCGAGGGTTATGTTCGTGTAACTGATAGGAAAAGCTTTTAGTATCTTTTATTTCATTTTAAATGGGAGAGGGTGATTAACAACGCATTTATAGATTAATTTTATTATCCAGTATTGCTTGTTTACGTAACTTTACACTAAAACACACAATCTGTCTATCACTGGGAATTGAACCCCGGATCTTTGCTTTTTAAATTCGTGAAATAGCTTCTGACACACTGGGAGACATTAACTAGTGAAACATGAATTAGCATGCCAATTTATGAAATTATATTTATCGTGAACTAACTTTAAGAAATAATATTAAAGAAGTAAGTTTCAAGCACTAAAACTATGATTAGTCAATCAGTTTACTCAGCAATACACATTTTTGAAATTATTGATAATACGAAAACTCAGTAATTTATTCCTGAATTTTAATACGCTTACTGAGTTGTTGGTTGTTACTGTTTTAGCATACATAATAGATCTACGAAGTCAATACATAAATATTTTTGTAACCGTGATTTCAACTTTCGTTTCAACCCAAATGTAATTTACTCGTTTACCTAATGAAGTAATTCTGTTTGTGTCTTAAGCCGAAAGATCATGTTTTCTCTTCTTGCTCAATATGACTGATTTTGTAAGGATTTTCCCATCACATTTCTTATTCTGTGTACTAAATTCATCTTAAGATTTCCTCAAACTTTCAATGTTTAGTAAGCAAATACACAAATGAAATAAATAATTAGGAAACAGTTTTCAAAAAGCAATATTTTTAGAAATACTGTTTTATAAGGTAGATACATGAATTGACTAGCACGTATATCTGATATATATTAGCTCAAGTGTCTTTATTCTCTTTGAATAAGGTAAATTAATTGTTTTTTTCAAAAGTTAATGATCTCTCCCATAAATCATGAATATTTTGGGCATGTTCTATGGTTTAAAGATGTAGAAGGTTTTTAATTCTATATTACTAATATTTACTCAGTTATTTCACTTTGTATATTATGATTACCTTTTATCGTCTACTATAGGACATGCTATAATCATTTAGATGTACAAATGTAGGCTGTTTTTATTGTTTTCTGATTTTGAAAAACGTAGCGCAAATACACCAATATAGGAACGTAACAGAAGCGATTATTTTGTGAAAGTAAAACTCTTTACAAAGGAAGTAATTGAAATAAAATGTTGATTAATTTTTTAAGCTAAATGTCTATTTGATAAAAAACAAAAACTAATGGAATTCATGAAATGAAGACGAAATAAAAAAACAAAAAACCTAAATTTATGTATCCTAGTACGACCCTCATAATAATAAAATATCACTAACTCTCCCTGTAATAATGACCTATTTTTTATTCACTCTTGTTATTTCCTTTCCTTCGCTTTCCTTCTCAGCACTGGAGATCCTGCCAATGGGTAAGTAAGCTTTCGATCTGTGATTCTCGTGCACTTAAAATAATATTTTATTGTTAAAAATAGATAAAGTAGTTTGTGTCCATACGGGGGCGCGCGTGTAGATGAAATTTATAGTCTCTGGTTTTTAGAGGTTGGCATATTCAAACATTAAATATTGTTAATCACCATGTGCATATATGCGCTTTTATGATGTTACAACGAAACACAAAAGTCCTAGTACTTCTTTTCAATTTAATTTAACTATAGTATTGCGTTGGGCTTGAATACAGTTCACGATTTTGTATGCTCTAAAAAATTAAGCTAGTAATGATCTATACAACATCTTTATGTAGTATTATATTCTTGATAATATTTTCCTATTCAAACTTACACAGATTATATACATTTGAAACTTAGTAATTATTATTACTTTATCTTTCCTGTATTTATCCTAGAACTACGTTTCTGCTGTTAATCTACTTTCGTTTCAGGTTTAGTCTTGATAAAAAATGCTTAAAGTAGTCTGTAAAATTGCTGAGTTTGAACTTCATAAAAGATAATTTTGTGAGGGCGTTTTATGAAGATTTCAGCAGATGTAATAACCAAAACGTAACTTCACAATATTTACAATTAAGTCAGATCAAATAAAAAACGATAAAGCGATTGGAGGTAAATAAATAAACCATATTCTATATAAGTAATCACAGATAATCGATACTTTAACTACCTATCTAAAAGAAATTTAACACTAAGAAGTTGAAATAAGCGTCTCAACATGATTTAGAGACATATGAGCTCAAGTAAGCTTTTCTTTTTACGCATGTAGCTATTACATTCTGTCTTACCTGGAAATATTGCAAATGCTTGATTCTCCTGTATGGCACTAATATATTTTACCTTATTTGTAACAGCTTTATGATATATTTAATTATAGATTTTTTTGTATTTATGTTATTGCCTATTCTCATTATTAAACTGTAGTGCTAAATGTTTGTATAATTTAGTTTAATGTGATACTCAGACACTAACAGATTGCATTCTATTTCGATTTTCAGGAAAGTATTTCTTTAAACTTTATCTTCCATTTAAAAGCAAGAAATGTTTTTGCTACAGCGTAAAGTGTGTAGTGTAAGAATATACCTCAGATATTATATGCTTTTATATGACCAGAATATGTGTCTTTGAAATTGTTCAGAACATTTTAGCTGTAACTATAAGACTTTAGCGTATAGAAAAATACATATTCCTAGAAATGTGGTAAAATACATCTTAGTCTTTTCATTAAAGAAAAAATTACATATGCATATTTTCAATTATTCATAAGTTACATTCCCACTCATTCACGAAGAAGACCTCTGTATAACTTTTGTTGATGAAACAGTAAATTTTGCAATGAGTACGTGACTGTAAATATTTTTGTAAGCTATATTTTTAACGTTTTAATTTAGTTGTTTACTAGAGGAAACTGCTAACACGTTGCTGACGCTAGATTTAGAAAGTTTATAAAAGTAGTTCTAGAATACGTAGAATGTTTATGATAGTAATCAAGAGAATCTGCTAGATGTCTAGAAACAAGGATGCGTTATAAATACGAGAATCAGTGAAACATTGAGTTAGTTTTCGGTTCGTTCAGTGATTCAGGACTTAGTGAAATATTCAGATCAGCGTTAGTTATCGCGTGTATTTAGTTACTCGGTCGATTAGCCGTGAAATTGTACAACTTGTAAGTAAGTTGATTTATACCTTAGTCGTAGTAGTACTATCAAGACACACTGTAGTCATGCAGCCAAAACAACCTGCTGCAGGATACACTGTGTGTTATTAACAGGAGTGATAAGTTTTAGCGATTTTTCACCTTCTGTACCTTGGACTTTGGTAATCCAAACTATCGGATATTTTCAGTTGATGTTCTCTACTGGGCTCTTACTTCACATACAAATTTCAAGGCAATCCATTAAGAAATATCTGAGATGTAACAATTTTGATTGAGTTTCTTCCTATTTTTTCCTCGCACCAAAACAACAGAAACTATATTTGATAGAAAAACATACTTAACTTATATGGATTTTTGTCAAACTTGGTACACTGATAGATCTTTACAACCTACAATATAAGCCACATGTGAAAAGCTATTTAACACAAACTGCTCAAAAACTGCAAAAAGTCATTTGAGCTTGCGGTCTAACATTTTTACTACAGCTTCACCTAAGAGTAAAAGTGGGCCATTTTTAATTTTTGTCATTCGAATTAAAGACGGCTGAATTAAAGCAGCAAAACTATAAGGTAAATGGACGTGCATATACATGAGTATTGGTTAGGCCAAGTAAACTAGATTAGCAGTTTCAAGCTTAAATTTTCAAAAGAATTATACGGATGGATGATTATTATTGATTGTTAACTTTTTAGTACAGATTTACTAAATTTTATGAACTTATTCTAATTAAAGAGCGTTTAGCATCAAGAGATATTAACTTAAGCAATTAGCTTAAATAATGATGCTTGATACAGCTGTACCGATGGCATGGGGGTGAGGACAAGAAACTGTTAATCTAACTTCCATAGCGTTACTATAAAGGAAGCTATTAACAGTGTTTTAGAGAGGAAAACTATCACCATATATTTTAAGAAGAATCTGGTTGATTCTGTAAAATATAAGTCTGTTCCGAATAATAGGGTGGTGATCCTAAAGCTAATGTTGGCTACTATCGAGTGTCACTTTCTTACTTGCTTTGGTTTGTTGATGTGTATTGTCATGATATCTAATGAAAACCATCTTAGGTGTGACTAAGTCGCTCACTCAATCTTTTTTGGCCACACCTTTTTTCACACCTAAAGTGTTTTTGATTAGATTACGAGTAAATTTATGTTGAAAGTGGAAATATTATTTGTGAACTAAGGCCTGCAACTTCAAACAAGTGCTATTATCCTGTAGTAAACGTTAAGAAGAAAACAATTAATTTGTTATCGCCATCAAATTATTTAAAAGAATCCGCTGAATGATAGAAGTGGTAGAACGCGTTATAACATCATAAAGGACTGTTAGATATAAAAAGTCCAGTTAACGTCAATACCTTATCTGAATCTAATAGAATATTCCGAACGATAGACGTGATAAAACACGTTGCCACATGGTAATGGACAGTTAAATTTAACAAAATTCAGTTAATGTCAATACCTTATGTAAATCTTAAAAAATCCGCTGAACGATAGACGTGATAAAACACGTTGCCACATGGTAATGGACAGTTAAATTTAACAAAATTCAGTTAATGTCAATACCTTATGTAAATCTTAAAAAATCCGCTGAACGATAGAAGTGATAGAACACGTTACAACAACATTGTTAAATATATATAAAAGATCCAGTTAACTTCGGTAACTTATGTGAAATGCACATCAACTTCATGTAAAGAAGAAAACTTTATATTTGCATTTTTAAGAGGTTAAATTTTGTATTATAAAATATGTCTTTGCACGTTTTAAAGGTGTCATTTCACCTACTCTTCCCTTTTCAAAATCTTTTTGGCAGGTTAGAAATAAAAAGGTGTAAAACCCGCTTCTTTGCTCAAACTGCCAAAACGAAAGTTTGTCATTTTTTCACTAAATGTCCTATAATTCTTCGACTCTACGACTTTTGGCAATCAACCATGTGCCCATAATACTATCACATTGGCAGTCAATTATCCACACGCGTTTCGTCTAGAATTTATTACGTGAAAAAAACGTCGAACTTGTTCATATAATTGACGAAGTTGCCTGTCGCTCTCACCACTAAACTGAATGTGGATTCTCCCTCAATAGCACCAGAGATAATTCAACCAGACAGAGTGATTGTTATGTTAAAAAAAACAAATAAATTCCTGTACACTCAGTTTATATGAACCAGGAAAGAGTCATTACCCTTTCTCATGACTTTTAAGTTCCCCAATTAAATATAAACACGTCCACCCTTTGAGTATTGACTGCTTCAGTAATTGCTTTAATCTTAAATTCGCAAGAACAATATGTATGATTTTCACATTAACATTTGAAACCGTGACATGAGTGCTATTGATTTTCAGAGACGTGGGAAGCAACTATATAACCTAAATGATGTTTCTTTTATTTGTTAACTCTATGTCGTAGAACCCACTGAGGGATGAGAGGATTCCCGGAGAAGACAAAAAATGTTTACAAACTAGCTTTGCGATTAGTTTTTTAAAAAGTTACTTTACTTCTTGAAACTTGATTATCATAATTAAAATTTTAATTCTGTAGGCGAGAAAAACTTTTCAATGATATTAATTTATACCAATGAAAAGTATTTCTCGCTAGTTACTGTTTACTTGTGTCAATTCTTTTAAAATATTAAATGATGACTGTTTTGATCTTTGCTCCACCATACGACGGCAATTTATAAAATTATTGCTAGTTAAAAATTAGCAAAAAAAATTACTTTGGAGAAATTACTTTTCTTATTTAGATGCTTTTTTTCATACCCTTAACGAAGTTTTAGAATTGTCATAACGGGTATACGAATATACCAAATATAAAAAAAAAGTCAAAAATTTAGTCATTATAATTCATTATTGCAAGTGTCCCTAGTAAGCCACTGTATTCCTTGAGGCTATTATACTTCGTTATTTTTCCACTGGTGAGATCAAAAGTGACTTGGGTTGTGCACACGCACTATAAGGGATGACATTATGGATTATTGGTTATAATGCTTGCTCTTTCAGTCTGGAACAAAATGATAAAATGATACCTACAAAGTATTTTTAAGTTTGTAATATAAGTGCTGTTCATTTGTCATGTACACATGCCACTTTGTTTGTTTTTGATATGAATAAAAACTGTCCAGTCTTTTTCTTTCTTCATCTTACTCAAAATCACAACTCAAGTGAATTCCGTGATATAAATTTGCTTCATCTTCTTTCTTTCAGGGAAGGGGTAGAAAAATGTGAGATGTGGTCGAGCAACACAACACAACAGATAGACTTAGCGCTAAATATATTTTTTATGGTCTACTTTTTTATACGTGTAAGTATATAAGATCGACGTATGTATGACAAATACAAGTTCAAATTCGTTTCAAAGTTTGTTTTCCATATATGTGATTACACAGTCTCAAAAAATACGTTATATCTAATTTGTTTCGTATTTAATTCTACAATTTCAAGTATGGCAATACGTTTTAAATTATATATATATATAAATATGTATGAAAACTTATTTTAGTGCTGTTAATTATTAATTTTCAACTACGCTTTCTATAATCAACATCTCGAATTATTAACTTAAAATTTCAGCTTTTCTTGGTAATTTATTTTTCATAGAGGTGTTGAAGAAAAAGATACAAAATGTGGCCTATTGATAAACTCTGTGTACCGTACTCGTGGAGATAAACCAACATATTTTTACAGCAATAATAAACTGTCGTTTGTAGCGTATGTACATATGATAAATTTGAAAACGTTCTCAAGAATATATTTCTCGGATTTCTGTATACTAACACTCGTCAGTAGTAATTCGACCAGATAGAATTCAGTAATTGCGTCAAAGCAATGTACTGTACGTGGAATAGGAATTTCAGTTTTTGCTTCTTTTTTTTATGAAGTGGGTGGTATAACTCACTCAGCTTTTCCTCGCGTACTTTGTTTGTTTCAACTGACTTATTCAATAGAGAAAATTAATATATTTCCATTAATCAGTCAGCGAACTTACCAAGTTTATTTATTTATTATGACAAATTTCTTGTGTGGGCAGATGGGGCTGCATGTATGAAAAATTTTACTTTGTTAACATCCTCTATTTCGCGTTTTTTTATTTTAAATTTTATCATAGTTGGTCATTATGAAAGTCACTTCACATCGAAAAATCAAAACAACACAAAGATTATGGTGTCACAATTGTAACCTCGTGGTCCAATGTTTGTTACAAGTATATAGTGTATCAAATTTTATATAGTGTAATTGTTTTAAGACTTAAGTAACAAATATTGGCGTGTTGATTATCCTCATTTCTACGATTAATTGCAAATTTCATTAATGTATTTATATATATATATATATGTGTGTGTGTGTGTGTATGAGTACAGTAAAATATAATGACATTTGCAGTTAATCAAAGATACATATATAAAGATTTCTTAAATAAAACCTTTACATATGTAATCACATTAAACGTGGATTATGTATCTCTAGAATAAATGATATGTATACATACAATTTATTGGGTATCTCTGGTTAACGTGAATTAAGTTTGAGTAAGTATTTTTCTTTCTAGTTTATAGCTGCAAGTGATAAACTGTGGTTCATGCTTGAGTTGTATTCCTTCGTGGATTACTTCACCATTCCGCCGTCCTTTGTCTCTATTTACCTCGATCGTACGTGGATAGGTAAGGATTTCTTTATTGCGACTCATAATGTTGACGTATTTTTGAAAATTTACGTTTGCGTGAAAATTTTAGTTAGGATATTTTTTCAGCTGTTTCCACGTTTTTTTTTCTATTCCTCTGTAGTTTAGTCACTTATTATTACTTACATTTTATGAACACATTTTTTGCTCTTTTATTTAAACAACAACGTTCTTCCAATAATCATATTAAGATAATTTTCCTCCTAAAAAGGGATCATAAAAATCTTTCAACATGTTCAACTTTAAATATTTGTTTAAGGTTGTTATTGAGGCTTTAACAAACAATTCATCGACAGTGATTGCTAATTTTAGTAGTTCAAAATGATTTTTTTTAGATAATTATCTATTGTTTATTGAATTTTAGGCCTACGGTTTCTGAGAGCGTTACGACTGATGTCAGTGCCCGATATCTTGCAGTATTTAAATGTGCTCAAGACCAGTAGCTCCATTCGTCTGGCTCAGCTAATTTCCATAGTTATCAGCGTTTGGTTAACGGCCGCTGGTATAATCCACCTGGTGAGTTTTCACGAATCCGGTAGATGCCACAGAGAGTTCATATTTTGATAACTAATTGAGACTACTGTAATAATAATAAGTAAAAGGTGAAATTGCTCTGAACCCCGATTTAGTTTTCCAACCCTTTGTGTAGAACATTATGAAACCTCATAATGTAAGAATTTCTTTAAATGTTGATACAGTTATCTCCATATTATATATTGAAATGTTAATTTCTACCTTTTTAGTTAAGAGGTGGTAATGAGTTTTTCTTTCTTATAAATATATAAAAGTTATCTTAAAACTGGATATTACTATGTGATTTTAACTCTCTCATTGCAGTTGCATAGATAAACAACTTTGATAGTTCGGGTTTGCTTTTATATGCATTATAAAAACAATAAGAAATGTGTTTGAATTTTTCATTACTAACCTGAAATTTAAAAGTGGTAAATTTGGGAAGTTTGAAGGGGAATACCCTATCTTCACGATGTTAGAAAATTCCAAATTCCCCATCAGTTTCAACTCTATTTTAAATAACTAATATTCGGATAAAAGGATAAGATATCCGTTCATCATTCTTACTTCAATACTGCCATTCTTATCTTCAGTGACCTTAACACAACCTTACAGCAGGAATAATCTGTTCTACGCTGTTTTCGTCATTTAAAAAAATAAATAAATGACAGTTATCTGTAAGACAAACTGTACGGATAGGACGGTACTACTAATATTTAAAGATAATTATAAATGTTTATTTATACTAAAATTAATGAGTTTGTTGATGGTTCCTCTTATGGTTCCACCTTATTTCCAACAGCCACTGATTGAAATCATTCGTCCATATTTTCTTTGTTTAACTGACTGGATATATTTAACCTTTTCTAACAAAATATAAATGATTAAACAAGAAAGTCTAGATGATTAAAGATACAACAAAAATCGGCCTCGTAACATTGAGTTGAAATACGTTATAAAACTAATTTCATAAACCCAAAGCATCGACATACTTAATTCAAAAATAAACTTATATTAAGATTTATCTTTCAGAGGTTAAAGCTACATCCAAGAAAAAAAACAAACATGTTCATCTTAAGAAAGCGTTTCAAAACACATGAAGCTGTTATAGTCGTCAAATCTTTGACAAATAATCTTTTAGACTGTGCTGCTAGACAGATATTATCGAATGGTATACACAAGTATAAATTCACTATTCAAAAATCAGATATTTTGATAGATAAATAAATAAAGTTTTCACTTTATAGCTGGAGAACTCTGGAGATCCTTTAGATTTCGACAACACCCATAATCTGTCCTACTGGGAATGTGTATACTTCCTTATTGTCACGATGTCGACCGTCGGCTACGGTGATATATACTGTAAAACCATGCTTGGAAGGGCATTCATTGTATTCTTCATCTTAGTGGGCTTAGTAAGTAAGAAGTTACCGTCTTATTATATTATTTTGCCTGGTGGTACGAAGTTACTTGATTGGAAAAATAATTCCTGGTATATGTAAACAAACTGTCAAACTACACCTTACTGTAAGAAGTAAAGAATTTAATAGTATTTTATTATGAAAACAAAACCCCCATATATGTTTTAAATTTGCGTATGTTTTATTTTAAGAATGTGTGATTTATAAGTAAAGTTTACTTGAAGTTTACAATGAAGATCTGCCAATATTAAACCGTTTAGACTAAAAATTACCCTGGTTTATCGTATAACTTTCAACTGTTTTTAATAATAATAAAAACAGCAACATATATATATGTGTGTGTGTGTGTGTTTGTGTGAATACAAAAATATATATTTTTTAAACATTCTCAAATATATTGGACAGTTATCTTAAAGAAAACAGTTCAGATTTTTTCACTTCTTCTGATGTTTTATTTCTATTAGTTACTCATTAAGGTACTACAATAACGTCTGAAATGTTCGATTGTTTTATAATATTTCATATTTCAATTTGATGGCATGTTGTTTACAGTGTTTATATTTCAATTTAGTAGCATGAGGATGGACTAAATACGTACTTGTTTACGTTCTACTTATTACAATGACATATTGTTTAAAATGTATTTTCCGAAACTATCAAGATTGTAGAAGTCTCACTTGTTGGCAGAAAGCAATGTTATATTGTTTTACCAATATAACTTACAAAGTGATATGGATTAGATATGGATTATAAATAATAACTGCATAACCGTTTTTACGCGTTCTTGCTCTCTTTTTTTTATCTCTTCTACTTTTCTTGCATATTGGTTATAAAACTTATCACCTTGGCTTCATTGGAAATTCATGTAATAAGAAACAGGTTTACAAATTTTGCACTTTTGTTTTACTCTTGCACATGTTTAAATATTTTTTGCACTCTTATCCAGTAGTTAATATAATTATTATTATCCTATCCTGTAATAGGTTTAGCAATAGCATGATATTATTTCCTTTCAATGCTTCTCCAATTAGATGAATATTTTTTGTACATCATAAACTTTTAATTTTGCAATTTTTTCGACTTTTTCATTAGAAACGCTCTTAAACAACATTTAGTTTCAAGACAAGTAATTTCACATCCTGCTTCCTAGTTGATTGAGTTTGTAATAGTTATATTTTTCAATGGATGATGCTTGAAATCCCTTTCATTATTTTCCATGTTTTTCATTTTCATAGGCCGTCTTTGCCAGTTGCATTCCAGAGATTCTAGAGTTAGTTGGGACTAGACCCAAATATGGTGGTGAATACAGACAGGAGCATGGGAAAAGGTAGACACTGTCAGGCCTTTCCATTCTAGCCTCGTATTGGCATGCTTTTTTCTCGCTCGATGGTGCACTAGTGGAATAAAAAACATTATACATTTTGGTGTCTTTTGGCATCTGAGTGCAGATTAGGCAGTTATTACCAACCACGTGAAACAAATGATATAAATTATGCTTAACTATACATACTTGTGTTGTTTCAGTAAGAAATACTTTTCATAATTATATTACTAAGAACTGAAATATTTTATTTCATTTTGTTCATAAAATGTTTCTTGTGGTTAGTTAGGCTCAATTGGCTAGTCTGCACAAATTGCTTTCTCACCGCTTGTGAGACATTTATCGTTGTGAGAATGTTATGCCTGTCACGTGTTCTATTCAACCTGAAATGCTTTATTTTCAAACCCACAAAGTTAAGGATATATTCTTAATGCCTGAATATATCATCGCGGTTGGAGTTTCAAAATATTCAGATGTTTTCTGCCATTAGTTGGGTTGCCGATGATCTCTTAACGTTAAAACATCCTTTCTCTTTCACATTCTTTCCTTCGCTTCATTGCATATGTGTGGTTTTCTCTGCCTGTACCACCTGACATCTCTCTCTTGCGCACGTTTCGTGGTTGCCCTTCGGTCAATTGCAGGCAGTGTTTGCTAGCTGCATCCCGGAGATCATCGACCTGATTGGCTGCCGACCAAAGTATGGCGGAACGTTCAAGTCTGAAAGAGGAAGAAGGTAATATTTATTATAATTTTTTTTTGCTTAACTCTGCAATGCTACTTCTCTCCTTCGACCTCTTCGCCATGTTTTAAATAAATTTTTCGTATTATTTTAAGTGTGTTTTTACTGCAGCATTTCACCAATCAGATGCATGTAAAGAGACATCAGTAGTAACCACGAGTGACAATCAGGTTACTGAACTAATGATAACATTATTTCTGCTAATAGCTGTGTTTTTATCCAGTTTTCCAGCTCGATGACTTTATAACTTATATGGAACATTCAAGTTTATGAAAATTTTAAAACTTGAAAAGCTCTTTTTTCTGGGCATTCTGAAAAAAAAAATTAATGATAATACCAACCTTTCAACTTATGCTATTGTGTTATAGTTTGTCGTTATTGTTTTTTATTAATTCTTAAAAGAAACCAATGCCCCCCCCTCAACAAAAACAACAACATAGAAACAGCAAAACATTGGTGGGAAAATATCAAACTTTTCTGAAGTGCTTATAATTTTCCTTGTCTCAGATGGTTAAACGTCTGAACATGTTTGTTATTTTACCTGTATCAAATGGTTAAAAGTCTAAGTAAATAAGATTAAACATATTATTGAAACAACAGACGAAGGAAGATTAAAACCCTAAGATAAAACGTTTCAAATTAAAAGCTGCCATACGTTTCGACACTAACTAGTGTCTTCTTCCTCAGTGTTACTAAATGTTCTACATTAGTGCAAGTTATTAAATACAGTTACGGTAATAGCACGTGACATTCTGTTGGTATACAAATTCTTGTACTTGTATTCGCATGATTTTGATCTCCTAGGTTACACTATGACTCATGAAATATACGCTTGAATTAGTTAATATATTTGGCCAAAATAATACTGTTTTTCCGTATTGGAAAACACATTATTTTAAACAAATATTATGATTTCTCCTTTCAAAATCTTCATTACTTCTGATATTTTTTTACATTTTAAGAGAGCGATGTATGTATAAATAGATATGGTACTACAACTAAAATGCATATGTGTGAGAACAGTTCTAAAGAAAAAAATTGCTGTCTAAAGTCTTCTTTATCATGTTGTATAACTCTTGCACTAAATATTTTTAGAACGTTTTTGAATAAACATATTCTTGCTTCTATCAATGGACGGTGTAAAAATTTATATTTCATGTTATTCTGAAATTATGTGAATTTCTTTTATTATGGGTGACTGTAATCCACTATTAATGTATGATTCTCATAACAAAACCTTACCTTGAAGTTTTACAGAGAACGGTAAATTGAATTTTTAGCGAACTTAAGGTAAGCCTCATTCGCTTCAACTGGCAGTGAGAAACACGATAGTTGTATACACTAAAACTAACTCATCATTAGCCAAATTTATAAATGAACAATCCATTAAATTTTTACCTGAACTGAATGTTAGCCTCATTGGCCCAGCTGGCAGTGAGCAACTCTTATAGCTTTATCTACTAAAACTAATTTATTATTAATTATATTTCAAATTAACCTTTTGTAGACGTGTAATTAAAATGACTGGAATCACAAATGAATGTAAGAATTATAATTAATAAATATTTTAGCAACTTCCTATTGGTTGTTGTTTATAGAAGTTGTGTATAAGCTTGACTTTTGATGAAATTTGTAGTTAAATTGTTTTCTAATGCTACATTTTTATCTTAATTTCAAGGCACATTGTGGTATGTGGTCACATTACCTATGAATCAGTTTCACACTTTCTCAAAGATTTCCTTCATGAAGACCGTGAAGATGTTGATGTAGAGGTCATATTTTTACACAGGTATTCCTTACTTAATATTGTAGTTTAGATATTTCCACGAACAGTGATTTCATTTTTCAACGAGTACCAGATACTTTTTATTTTGCTTAGCGAAAGATATCACAAGTAAAATATGTGGTTCAGCATGACTTTATAAGATCTTCTTAAGTAGCGTCAACGGTATTATTTAGTCCAATAATTATAAGATAAAACTTTATGAAGTATAAACAATTACCTATACATAGCATATTAATAGCACTTTTGCTATTAATTACACTTAATTATACACTACCATAAGTCTTAAGCATATTCATTTAAGAAATAAGTCCAAAACACTCAGTGATTTTGAAGCAGCATATTTTACAAGGCCAAGGACGTAATTCTCTGGAAGCTGACTTATACCAATATTACCTTCTGCACATTTTTTCGTTTTCAATGTAAAACATAGAATAAATTAATGAAAAGTTGGTGTTGGTTTCTATCTATAATATTTATACTTGCTAAATATTACTTAGTTCTGATAAAAGAGTTAGCACACAAAAGGTGCAATGAATTTTAAAAAAAGACCCAAAACTCGAGCACTTTCGAATAGTTGACTGTTCGTCTTCTTAGTTCATTAGCGGTGACTGTTTAAGACATGGGATAAATAATGAAGGTTGTATTTAGTTTCTGTCTATAATGGTTATTGGTGCTACCTCTTGCAGAGTTTGTTAAAGGTAAAAAATGTGAAATGACCTAAATTAATGAAGGTTGGATTTGTTTACTATCTATAATAATTATAGTTGCTATCTGTTAGAGTGTTAGTTAGTAGTAACAATGTAAAACATATAAGATAAATGAAAGTTGGGTTTGGTTTCTATATATATATATATAATAGCTAATATAAAAGCTCGTCAAAAACTACGGGAAACCGTTGTTGAATGATTAACGAAAATTACAGAATTTAACTAAAACAAATTTGTACCTTCAAAATGCATCTGCTCTTCACTTATTTCATCGAAGTAATTCTTTAATCAAAAATGAAATGTTATCATGAACAAAAGTACGTGTGCACTCTGGAAGAGACTTAAATAGCGCTCTTGAGCTTTTCATTGTATTCTAGTTCAGGAAGTAAAAAACATAGTGCGGACATTCCGACACAAACTTTCAACTCTTTCGTCTGTACAAAGTATAAAAGATATTTGGTAGTGATAAAAGTTTATTTTTCTTTATGTTTTAAGACCAAGTAGGTAATATATGTGTTAAAATACCAAAATTATATATATTAATTAACATTTATTCAACACTTAAAACTTTTTAAACACTGATTCTATAACGTTAGTAATAGTACGTCTATTTGTAGTCTAATTCAAGCATTAGATCTAATGCATAAACGTAACGAAAGACCTAGCTGAAACATTACTTGGTAAATTTTAATTGCTTTTGCCTACAACTCAATGTCATAAAACTTCCGAATTAAACTATTATGCTGCTATATCACCGAAGTTATCAAAAATATAAAGAATAAAAAAAACATTTCTAATAAATGAACATGAATATTGAGCATTCAACATAAACACTATAGTTGGCCTAAGAACGATCAGGTGATAGTTTTGTTGCTAAGCGACGATGTATACTGTTGAGCATTACCAAAAAAGGAGTGTGGAAGCGTTCTCGACAGAGTGACAAAGGGAATACGTCTTTTATAGTTAGTGATTATAGTTGCAGTTATTTAGTTCATTAGTGGTAACAAACAATACATTGCATAGAATACTTGTATATAAACATATTAGGGCGTATAAAAGCTGATATAACTCGAAACAACAGTTCTCACTAGATATGGTGTGGAGATTGTTGTCCAATGTAAAGAGATATATTAAATTTCATTTAACATCTTTGAATTTCTTTTTCCATGACTTATTCAGAAAGCCACCAGACCTAGAGCTGGAAGGTTTAATAAAGAGACACTTCACGACTGTGGAGTTCTTTCAAGGTTCAGTTATGAACACAATCGATCTACAACGAGTAAAAGTGAGTAATCAAAAAATATTTTATGTTTTATGATAATATTTAAAAAAATAGGACTTCTACTATCTGAAATGATCATGAGCATAGCGCTTTCATTACTGTGGTTTCAAAATTAATGTTTACGCTGGTTGATTTTATTGGCGGACAAACTATGAAAGATATATTTGAACTTCAACTTATAACCTGGCATGGCTTGATGGTTAGGGCGCTCAATACTCTCATCGAACATGCTCGCCTTTTTTTGCCGTGAAGGTGTTATAATGTGACTGTCAATTCAACTTCTCATTGGTAATAAGTAGCCAAAGAGTTTGCGGGTGTTTGGTGCCTTCTCTCTAGTCTGTCACTTCTCAGTTATGAACGGTTAGCACAGTTAGCTCTCAAGTAGCTTTGCGCTAAGCTCAACAAAATAAATAACCTACTCTTAATATATATTAGTGAAAAGTTTTTGATTTTATACACTTTTATTATGGTTATTTTAATCTTAGCAGCAAAGCTTTATAATATAGTTCTTAAAAATATATAATTAGGATTAATATATATAATTTTTCTTCTGGTACGAATGGTTCTTTAGGTTCACGAAGCAGATGCATGTTTGGTGCTGGCAAACAAATATTGTCTCGATCCCGACGCTGAAGATGCAGCTAATATTATGCGTGTTATTTCCATAAAAAATTACTCTGATGAAATTAGGGTTATCATCCAGTTGATGCAATACCATAACAAGGTTAGTAGCGCTTGAAAAATTAATAAAACAACAAATTATCTAATACCTATTAATTCTCGCTATAGATAAAGGATATCATTAGCCAAAGTGAATTTTCCATAATTTTTATTTTAACGAAACTTCGTTAAGTGTCTTAATTTCCATCGTTCCGAGAGTAGTCCGAAATTGCCAAGGTACAACTGGTTATAGCTGTTCTTATGATGTTTCATGTACACGTCTTTCTGATAATGATTCTCACTTATCTGTGTATTGATAATGTCAACATATATCTTCTTTATTAAACTAATTTATTAGTTATTTTTATCATTGACTAAAATATAAAAGATGGTAAAGTTATGGGAATTCGATGTTTTAACCAAAAATAGATCCCAGACAGAATTTGTTTCTGATATGAAAGCTATTTTATTAGAGTTATCATTCTATTAATCTTTTTTTTTTTAGTTCCTAAAAATAATTTATTCTAGGAAATTATTAATATACATGGTACCAAGTTGGCCTAGCTATTGTTGTCTGTCGATAAATGGCCCAGATCCTTGTCAACATGAAATGTCGAGTAAATCGATTTTCTGACTAAGCTATGTTCGATATTCATTATTTTCACTTTCCTTCGTTGACAAAATCTAGCATTTAATCAGTGTAGATGAGCTGAGAGTTGGGGCTGATTATGAATCAAGTTTTGATGAAATCATGCCTAAAAAAAATCGTGTTTCGAAACTACCGTACAAGTTACGAGTTCGAATACCGTCATCAAGCATGTTCACTCTTTCAGCTATGAGGGCGTTATAATGTGACAATCACTCCCACTTTACGTTGGTAAAAGAGTAACCCAAGAGTTGGTGGTAGGTGGTGTTGACTAACTGCCTTCCCTCTAATCTATCACTTCTAAACTATAGACGACCAGCGGAGATAGCCCTTGTGTAGCTTTGCGCAAAATTAAAAAAACAAAAAACAAACAAACTTTACACAGATTCTTTTCGGTAATAAACAAAAGTCACCTATTAGAAACTAATGCATTTGGTTAATGCAATTTGACTTGGTAACATAGAATGCTGGGTGCACTAAAAGTAATTCAATTTCAGTGCCATCACAGATTGTCAGATTTTGACTGAACCGCCAAACTGGTTTTTTTTTTTTTATAACTCTGTTTTCTTCTCTTTGGAAAAATCAATGAGGGGCTGTTGTCCGAAGTTGTTTTTTTTTTCGTATTTGTTAATAAACTTATTTTAATTTGGCGAGTGTTTCACTTTCTTTAATTATTTTTTCTACATTCTGTAAATTCGTCACCCACACAATGCTTTTATTATCAGAACTTATGATAACCTTGTCTACTTTTAATGTTTCATTTCTAGGCCTACCTCTTGAACATCCCCAGCTGGAACTGGAAGCGAGGGGATGACGTCATTTGCGTATCGGAGCTGAAATTAGGTTTCATTGCGCAGAGTTGTTTGGCTCCAGGATTTTCGACCATGATGGCGAATCTATTTGCTATGCGATCTTATAAAACGGTAGGATTAGATTAAGCTTTTAGTTTCTCGTAATACTGTTCTTTAAGTTTTAAAGACGCCTTAGACTCATATAACATCTATGAATTACAGTGGAACCAACGCGAAAAATTCCTTTTTCAATTATATAAAACATGTACAGTTTAATTTTCTATGTCTATTTAAATGTTGAATTACTGCATTATGTGTGAATCTTTAAATATATATTTTTAATACTGTCGATCTGTATTTTTATTTAATCACAAAACATAGTCTTATCTTTGAAAGGGGTTGTCCAGTATCGTATCATTTTTAAACACACTAAAATGTTTGACGGAGGAACTTATAATAAATCTACTTTATACTTTTTACTAAACTAGTTTATATACGTAGTCTTTCCTCTACCATCATTGTGCTTTCTGATACTTACGATTGTAACGTTATAACGTGACAACGTGCTTCATATATATACAGTGAAAAATCTGACACCTAAATCAGATTGGAAGTCACACAGTCTAGTGTTTAAAAATGAAAAGCCTGATGAAATTTGGTTGAATGGATGGCAACCATCTGTAGTAGAAACACAAGTATAGAGGACGACGTTTCGAAAGTTTTCCGCCTTTCGTTTTCAGGCCCTTTCGAAACATCGTCCTTTATACTTGTGATTTTACAACAGGCGGTTGCCGTCCATTAAACCAAATTTCATCATGAAGACTCTGACTAAACACTCTATCAAAGAATGAAAAGCCTGTTAACAAAATGAACAATTACTGTTGCTGAATGTGCGGAATGAAGAAAAATATGTAATTTGTTATTATGTGGAGTATTACTCTTTAAAGTACGGTATGTAACAGACAGATCGTTCTTTCTTTTGCTTTCCTTACATTGAGGAAAGTGACATTTTGGAGAAAATAATGCTATAAACATGAATAACGATTTCGTTTCCGTTGTTGTTGTTTTTTTACCAACAATCTGGAAGTTTCGAGAACTTAATACATTGACAAGACAGCGTGGTATATTCGTAAAGAGTTTATCAAAAGTGACACTTTTGCTCATCAATCTAAAATTATTATAGATTTTTGGGTTTACTACAAACGCAAGAGTTAACACCTGGTGAGTATAAGTCACATAATACAATTTTTATAGTGATTTTTGCGGTTATCCACTGGGTCAGCGGTAATTTTACGGACTTAGAATGCTGAAACCCGTGGTTCGATTCCTCGCGGTGGCCATAGCAGATAGCCTAATGTGACTTTACTCTGAAACAAATAAACAATCTGAATTTGTAAGTCACATAAGTATATAAAAAAAACAGTCTAAAAATTGTATCATACTAGACGATTTTTCAATTTGTTTAGTCACAGATCCACACAGCACACTTCACAGTTCCTTGTGAAAGACAACACAATTAATATATACTCATACACATAACATATATATACTGTGGTATTTTTCGCGTGCCAAGTGAGCTTATGGGTTAATTCCGTAATTCCTGCTGGTAAAGTAATTTTTAGCTGGATATTACAATACCAGCCATATTACCTGCTTAAAAACACAAATTGTCTTCTGTAGTATTCGACTTCACTTGTATAATATAGCTGTTTAGTCTTTAGGATGTTCAATAGGTATATGAATTCTCTTACTACTGTCTCGGAAGTTAAATTTTATCTGTATGATTTTTATAATTGAAAAGCAAATATTACCTTTGAAATTAATTAGCATAATTTTATATGTTGTTGTTGTTTGAAGCTAAGCACAAAGCTGCACAATGGGCTATCTGTGCTTTGTCCACCACGGGTATCGAAACCCGGTTTCTAGCGCTGTAAGTCCGCGGACACACCGCTGTGCTACTGGGGAGCAATTTTTATATGCAAGCTCTGAGGATGGCGTAATTTATTACGACACTTTTCAGTTTATCGATTTCCTAAACATTTCAACAACTGTAATCAAACAGAACATTAGTTTTGCAGCCAAAATACAAAAGGAAAAGAAGAAACAACAAAAATACTGAAGTACCTCCTGTTTACACAGTTTGCTCATCATTCATAATTTCATTCTTCACCTATGCCTAACTATTGATTCTGGATCCACATGAAGTTTTCAGAAAATTCAACATTTTCATTAGCAGCATTAAAAAAGAAAAAAAAACAATACGCAACTACTATTTTTATTAGTGACAAGAATGTGCAGATAGCACTTTTGAAAAGTTTGATTGTTAAAAATAATAAAATATGCTTTAAAATGGCTTTCAAGATAACCTGTATTTCGTCATTACTCGCCACTAAGGGGGTAACTCCAAAAATTAAGAATATGAAGTGCATTAACGAACGCTGGGCGGAGTACTTGCAAGGCGAGAACCTAACGACCAAGACCAGTGGATTCTTATTTTATATATTGCAAATTCTATTATGTATACTAATCCTAGCGCTAGCGGCATGAAGCAATGAATTCAACCTGTGTATACTTAGTTAAAGTAGTCACCTACTTTTTTTTAGATGTAAATGAATATTTATTTTTTAAAGCGTGTCACGTTAGTGGTGAATTAGAAAGAACACTATTTAATAAAAGTAAAAAATACCCTCTTCGCCTTCATCCGGTCACTCTCGTTCCAAAAGTTCAATTCGCATAACTCAGCTTAGTATTAATCGTTTCACTACTGCTTCCGGTTGTTTATCACACGTTGTCATCCTTTTAAAGGTAAGACGTTTTCCAATCCCACGCACTCTACTTGTTAATTCGTGCAATATTAATGTTATTCTGATCTCCATTTTACTTCCTTTTATCAGTTTCTTCTCTTTAAAGGTCTACTTAAACAATAGTGACTACAGTGTTAGTGTCCTGGTTTGATGTAAACTGAATTCATGCTCAGTTTAGTTTCTAATTCACCACATCACATTTTGTGCACTGTAACTCAGTAATTATTCTTACGTAAATTAGGAGCTAAACCGAATGTTAATTTACAGCACACGAATTAAATGACGCAATTGAGTTACGTCAAATAGCTTTAATTTGTTGTGTTTGTGAGATATCAACTACTGTTTGAGCCAAGTAGAATGTTTGCTTTTTTTTCGCTCAAGCGTTTTTGGATGGATATTCTTTATTCTAGAGAGCATTTTTAAAATATCACAAGGAATTCCAACTTCTTTTAACGGATATTCCAAAAAGTGATAATATTGAGAACAGTGTAAACACAAATAAGTAGATAGCTTCTCTAAAAAAAAATGCACATCAAAGTCACGTTGCTGTTTAACATATTTTTATATGAATATTTAACACATTAGCACTCCTCGAGTTAAAATAAACCAGTGATAAATCATAATGTACATATATTCAAATATGATTTGTTTATTTATTTGCACGTACTAATTCTACTCCCTGAACTGACGCTACTTGAAAGGCAATACAGTTTTATGGATCCAGAGCTTGCTTCCAATTAACTGAGAACATTATGATTTCTAGTCACCAGATATGGCATCTTGGCAGAATGACTACATGTGTGGAACAGGCATGGAGATGTACACTGAGAATCTTTCATCCTCTTTTACTGGCTTGAGCTTTCCTCAAGCAGCTGAGTGAGTACTTCCGGTTCCACTTTTCATATAATAAATAAGAAGTTTTGCATAGTATGTTAATTTGTCTATTTTATTCAACAGCCATTATACAAATGCGTGGTTTGGCCTTTTATTCTCTTGTATTCATTTTATTTCAAAGAACTGCCACTGAGTGGTTTTTCTGTCACATTCATTTTGCAAGTCAACAGATAATTTCAAACTTTCAGCTTGTTTCTGTTTCGAAATTGGTTTGGCTTCTTGAAAGTGATATTAATTAGGAAGTTTTTATTTTAGATGTACATTTTATAGATTATGATAGTAATCAGCCTTTAGTTTTCAAACAGAGATGGCGGGGCCTAAAAAAAAACTCAAAATACAAATAAGTTAAACTGGGAAATAATAGTCTTAATAAATTTATTTTATTAGGAATATTTAATCCGTACAAACGAATATTGGGAATATAACGCAAGCTATATCAGTATCTGGGTCAGATATGGTATAATAAAAATCTACTTAATTTATTATGAAACTAAATTCATCATGTTTAGGTTTACTAAATTATTGTTACATCACGCTGTTGATATTTTTGTTGCCCGTATGTACCCTAAATCCAGAATATCGTAAGTGACTTGTCCCAGTGTTGTTTATTTTTTGGAAACTTAATGAATTTAGAATATGACATAATAAAAAAGTCGTAGACAGTGTACATATAAAAAAATTTAATGTACAGCAGAGTAAAATTAATAGAACTTGGATTAATCGAACGTCAAACTAAATGTGAGATTTGCGGGAATGTTATTTACGTTATCGTATTACTTAATTGTTTACTCTTAAGAACAATACTTTTAGCTATGTGGTTAAATCTTACTTGTAATATAAGTTTTTATCTGTGTTTCATGACTTAAAAAAATGAATTAAGAATGTGAGCGATAATAAAAATAACACATGATAATTCCCCCTAGTTTTAAAGATTCTTTCTTAATAAAAATTTATACAGCACACGAATCGAGATACGTAAAAGTGTAAAATAAAGGCTAGCAAATTAGCATTTTTATACCAAAAGTCACTATGTGCATTTTGAGGATCATTACCTGGTATACGTTTTTATATGTGATCCTACTGAACAAAGGCTAAATGAGCAGCAACTGCCTAGTTCATGGTGACACACGTGGAGAAAGTCTTTTAGGACTAATCTACAAAAATATCTCAAGTAGAAAGGACTTTCTCTACAAGTGTCTCTCTGAGTTGTGAGGTTGCTACCCATTTTACCTTGGTTTTTTTCTTCGTGAATACTCTAAGTCAAATTTAAAAGACCTATTGGATACTTCCCAGATTGTGTTTTGTAACTTTGAAACTCCTGCTTCTGGCTATCGAATTACCCGCCGAAGACGGATCAGATTATAAAATTGCAATCAACCCAAAGAAGAAACTTAAGATTCAACCCAACACCCAGGGATTCTTTATAGCACAGTCAGCTGATGAAGTTAAAAGGTAAAGCCACAAATTGTAGCCCTAATAAGTTGTGCTTCAATATTGATTATCATATCTGTTCTGCCAATTGTGTCACCAAAAGATTATTTTAAAAATTATTTCAAGAATTATACATGAGTGAATGTTTAAACAAAACAAACAAACAGTTTAATATGGCGATCTTAAAAATTAACGGTTTTTAATGCTTTTTTTTTCATTGAAAATGTTTCATTTCACCGTTTATTGAAAATTATCTGCTTTTGTAGAGAATATTAATCGATTCCAGCACCTCAGCGGGATGATCATTTTGATTACGTGTATTAAATAAAAGTCAATTTGCAGGGCATGGTACTACTGTAAAAACTGCCACGAAGACATTAAGGATGAAAAGCTGATCAAGAAATGCAAATGTAGAAATTGTAAGTGTTTTGGATGGTCGTCGTGTTTGTGAATTGTTGTTCTTCCCTAAACCTCACTCACACTGGTGAAAGTCCTTCTCTTCTTGAGTACTGTCTGAACTTTCAGCTCTTTCTTGTTCACGCATAAAATATCAGCGTTTTCATGCACTTCTATTTTTCTTTTCCTCGCCTAAGCTTAATCCTAATTAACAGATCGTGCTTTACTATTTGTTACGTGTTTGGGACTGTTGTAACAAGTAATGTGGTCTGCACTGTTTCGTTTTCTTTTACAATGTGTATTAATACGTGTATTATAGACATATCGAAACGCCTTATCATTAATGCCTGCACCACAACTGGAGCCGTACCAGATAGAAAACGGTAATTGTCTGGAGAAAGATGAACAAACTAATTAAATAACTTTTTGTTTCTCTCTTTATCGTCACGTTATTACCTGTAAATTAGTAAGAACAAGTTTGGAGACTGATTTCATACCTCTGGTATGACCTACGGCAAATAAACGATTGTTACCATGCATGTAGTCTACTTATGTAGTTTGCGTTTGTAATATGATTCTGACACTTTATAAATTGTCATTTGAGAATAATTCCATGGCATCTGTTATTAAGGAACACTGAATTGTGACGCTATTTCATCTAATAATTAATGAAACTTACTTTTAGTACAGTAAAACTTGTTTCCTGTTTACTTACAAAAATACGAATTCATTCAGCCATCTAATAAATGTTTCACATACTCAGAGAACATTCTGGTGTGAACAAAGTTTTCAAAATCGAAACCTCAAAAGACTAGGACGACACGAAACCGTCAAAGTAACTAAACATTACATTGTCAACCCAGTTACCAGGCGCCACTAAGTGATCGATAAGAAGCCACTTTTGTTGTATATAGCTTTAGCTTCCGTCTGCAGAGTCGGACAGGATTTATATATACGTAATGAACACGCATAGAATCGTTGTTATTCGTTTCATTTTATGGAAGCTATATTCTATGCCTGATGCAATGTAAATAAATAATGCATCATCACAGTGATTTAGTGATTACGATTATAACTGCACCTAAGCCTTGTTTTCTGTTGATAAAAAAAAAAAAAATAAACGTACACGCTGCTATTCCTACGTAACAAGTGTTAACTAGTTTAGCCTTTATTAGTAAGCTAGTGAAACCTTTAAAGATTCATCCTAAACTGTGTAATTCTAGGAGCGCAGTAATAAAATACTTATATTATAATATAGATAATTACTGTCTGGTAAAAACTTTGTGGCAGTATCGCTAGATGTTTTTCATTACAGGAAGTCAAAATATTCGATATTAAGAATAAAAATAACAAATGAATATTTTATATATAATTAGTACCAAGTTTCATTGACTGAATAGAAAATGGCAACACAGTTACTCTTTAAAGCCACCTTTTTTTTAGATCTGCCTGTGAATTCTTGGAGTGAAACATTGTTGAGGAGTAACTATAATTTTGTTCTAAAATTCGTATACCTTTCTAACTGTTTTGTCTACCTTTTACCGCTACAGTGGCTCTATTTAGGAAAGGAGTAAGAGCTGTCCAAGTCGTTGGTAGAGCAAGTATGTATAGATTTTTTTGTTCTTTATAATAGAGTATGAAACAAACGACACTTAACATTTGGAGTATAGTTATAACAAAATCACCAAAAACACTTGCCTTTAACATAATTTAACTGATCGCATAAAATATGTAAGATAGAACTGATTTCTTACAAGTGAATCAGTTTAGCCATGAATGAATTTAAATTACATTTAAAAAAAAATTTGCAAACACGCACCTTTATGCCTCAACATGTCATTTTAGTGAATGGAATTATGAAAAACGTAATAAACATCTTTTGGTAATGATAATATCTCTGAAAGCTTAACCAAGAAGCAACGTGCCTTTAGTAAACAAATATTTAATGCTATGACCTTTAATTGCTCTTTTTTTTTAAGAAAACATTATTTTATCTTTATCCCAACCAAAGTATCTTTTAGCGATAACGCTCCCAATAATTCATTTAGCAAGTGCAATCTTCTAAAGAACTGGTTGTGGAGTATCTTAAAAAACAACGATTTTATAATTTTCAGTTTTGGGAGAGAATGTGAAGTAGTGGCATGCAATGATTTTTCGAGAATATTCCAGGCATACAATGGAGAACTTAATGTGATTCGCCTGAATGTGTACTAGCATGGTAAAAGACAAATATAGTAGTTGAATAATTGCTTTTTTATTTTGTTATATATTACTTGAGTTCTATGTTTGTCATAAGCAAATTATAGCTTTATTTGCTTGTACCATGTAGAAGCCTGTTAAAATTACACTTTGAAATAATATTTACAAATTATGTTGGTCTGTATAAACTCTACTTCGTACCTTTCCACACAACGTTATTTTTTGGACGTAATCTTTGTATCTGACTTAATATTTTCTATATATATACATATAATTTATTTTTCAATTAAACTTTTATCTATTATACCTTTGGATCATTTTTATTTATCCAATGCCTCTTATATTTATTGGTTTTCATTTAAACAAATTACAAATTCCCAAGATCATTTTCCGTTCTGCCTTACTCAATTTATTGCATTGTTTTGCTAAAGATATTTTTTCCGTTTAACATAATAAAGAAATGCCAGCATAGTATTTGCAGTACGTTGTCAATAAACAGTACAGCGAAATGAGTGATAGGTGTTTATATTGCTCAGTCATTTATGACGCATAACTGATTGTTTTTTCAATTATCAGATAAACACAATAGTACAATAACTGCCGGAATTAACATTCATATAAAATTTGTACTATATTCTTTTTCATAAACTTGTCTGATTTTTTTTTAAAAATATTTCTTACGTTTCTTTTTTCAGTATCTTAGGTGAAGCAAGATGATTAATGTTTTTTGACAAAAAGTGTAAGAACAAAGTAAAACATTAGTTATGCTAGCGAAGCATAATTAGTATAATTAAACTTAGATGGTTTTATTAGCTTGATTAACATAATCTATATAGAAAGAATGATATAGTATTAAGCTTAACATAACACTACTCAGATCTGAGAGACTTTTTTTTTTCGTTAACTCCAGACTTTTGAAATTTGTACCATTCTGTTTTAGATGTATCAGTTCACAACTCCACCTTTCCAACCTTTATCCCGCCAGAAATACCCAAGAAAGTCATGTTAGGAGGTACCAACATTTACAGTAAACTATTCAATGCACTTAATGTGCCTGTAACAGATATCATTGCACAACGTATTTACTTATGATATATTACATTGCACAGTACATCATTGATATTGATATTTTGAATTGCACTGGTATACTAGATTGAACTTCCACGAGATGTTATAACAGAATTTATGGTGTTGAGTTGTAATTGCACATGCATTTTAGAATGTGTGTATAAGAGATGTTTTGTAGATTTTGCTGTAATGTGATTTACTACGGCCTGTTGTTGTTGCTTTGCACATTGGATGATGGGAAAATAAATATTAATAGAGTGATTCATGTTGTGGTTGAAATATGTTTATTTCCTTAACGTTGGAGGATATGTTATTTCTAATGTATCGATTGCTGGGAATTTAGTTGTTTTATTATATATTTTCCTGTCTTTAGAAATACCATGACTGTGAATATTGGAAATGTTATGTTTGTCTGTAAGTTAATGCATGATCGATTGTGAATGTTCCTAAATAGATGAGCTAACATGAACTTTATTTTCCATCGCCAGAACTTCATTATGATTTGTATTATTTCTGTTATAATATTTTTATGTAATATCAATTGAATTATTTATTAGAGATATTACACATAATAATAATAATCTCATCGAACTTTCATATGATACATATCTGCAAGTTTTCATTTGAAAAATACTAAAACGATTTGAGATCTGCCTTATTAATAGTCAAAGGAATATAAACCTAGAAATGTTATACAGAATAATGTTAAATACACTTAGGTATTTGATAAATATACCGTTGATTGACTTACGGTTTAATTTAGAAAAATATGTAAAATATGATGTAATCGACACTATATTTTATACTGTCATATAAACAAAGAAAATACAATTTCTAACTCTTTTTCTGATAGCAGAAAGGTATTGATAGAATAAACTGAAAATCAACACTATTTTTAGTCAAGAATTCGTAGAACGTTTGTGAATTTTTCGAATCTCACATCGTTCTAAACATTCTCCTTTATGCTTTCAGCGGAGTTGACAAAAGAACAACAAAATACTAGTAAGTGCTGGTTTTCATATGAAGTATTGTTTTAGACAAATGTTCTTACCCTATCAATAGTTCTATCATTCTAAAATCGGTGTTAGAAAAATAATAAATCTTAGGATCCCACTGAATATAATGCACTTATTCTTTTCCATTATATAGAGTTTATTATAAGAAGACAAAAGCAAACAAAGAAACAAGCAGATTAAGCTCTCCATTTTGAAGTAGACCGGACATAGCCTGTTTTTAGCATGTAGTGCTGGAGATTGAAATATCCAAGGTTCAAGCACGCGAAATGCTGCTGAACATGCTCGGTGCGTTTAGCTGTGGTCACATTATAAAAGTGACAGTTAGTCTCGCCATTCGGTTAAAAGTAACCGTGTAGGCGGCAGGTGCCGCTGACTGGTTATCATCCTCCCTTGTAACCAGTTCTAAGTTAAGAACGACTATTCCTGTTCATCTCGGTGTCTCTGACCTGACCGTTTAGTCCACGTGCTAAAGAGTGTGAAAATACCAAATACCATTCTGAAATTACAAAAATAATTCTAAGATTGACAAGACACTGGTACAGATTCAGTTCAAAACTATGACGTAAGAGGATTTTTTAAAATTAATGAATATGAGCTTTCTCTGTTCTTCAAAAATACTTAAGTGTCAATACTTTGTGCTTTTGTAAGCAGTTTGTAGTTGTAATGAAATTTCGTTTTGATCATTGAAAAGTTTTTATTGGAAACTGAATCTGTTATTCACATTGAAAAAATTATGGAGATGGTTTCTCTTCCATTTAGGCAATCAGCTACATTTGCAACCCAATATCAATAGACAGAGTGTTACAACTCGCCAGCGTCATCCAAAGCCTCTTTCTGCCCACTCTCAAAGCAACACTGCCAACGCAGTGACGTCACCAAGTCGTCGTCCGGGTAACGTGACCTATGCAAGGTATGAACTGTTAAGTGGATGAACACTGCAATTGCCATACTCGTAGGTTTATGTTTTGATGTACTTAACCTATTTTTATAGTGAATTCGATCTTCTTTTCAGTTGATGATGCAGAGTGAAGCGTTTTGTATCTCATAGCATAAAGTTCTACTGTGTTTCCAAAGTAGTTCTTTGAGCACAACTAATTAGAAGATAGGATTTCTACGTACATGTATGTAGAAAATATTATTGTAGAACATTAGATTAAGCCATTGTCAGTATGATGAAAATGATATCTAATTCATTTTTCTACTACATTCATTATATTCAGAGTAGAAATCAAAACAAGAGAACGTGGAATTGAAAATTTCTTAGTTTGTCTTGGGAACAAGGACTGTTTACATGACTAATCTTCAGACTTAAAGAGTTATATTCTTTCCGTGCTTTTATCACCACCCTTGCACCAGATCTTTACTTGAATGTTCTGTGTTTCAAGCCTTGTTTTCAGTGTGCACTCACGGCTACAAAATCTGCCTCCCGTTTCTTTCCAGTCACGTGCCTTCTACCCAGCAGCTCTCTCGGACGGCCGCGCCCGACTTGTACTCGAGCTTACATCTAGCGTATGAAGTAAAAAAGCTCATGTATGCTACTCTTTCTGTCAATCATAAGTTTTTTATTTCACTTTTATTTTTTGCATACTAAGAGCAGAAGGTGTAGCTATTCATTACTTTGAAAAATTTTAAATGAGATCGAAAATTTATAAACTAAAAACAAAAGAGTAATTAAAATTGTTTGAAATAAGCACTACCTTCTGACCTTTTCTTATATTTGTAATTTTTTTCCTATGTAGTGTGAAATATTCTTCATGTCGCATTGTTATATTTATATAAAATGGATGTCGAAATCAAGTTTTCATGTAAAAATATGTGTATATACGATTGTTTATTATTTAGTTTTCCCAAGCCATTTTTACACTTTTTGCATGATCACTAGCTAGGCTATTACAATGCATGTTGTGTTGATGTTAATGCTTCACTTGCACGTCTTCACTTTCGTCACTGTTAATTGAAGTATTTCAGAGTATTAACTTTAAAGGCCACTTGTACAACCAACAACCGCTTTTTTTTTTACCGAAAGGACAGTGTATTAACAATGTAGTTACGTTATAGATGATCACATGTAATTGTTTGTTTGTAATTAAGCACAAAGCTACACAATGGGCTATCTGTGCTCTTCCCACCACGGGTATCGAAACCCGGTTTATAGTGTTGTAAGTTTGCAGACGTACTGTGCTACTGGGAGGCCACATATAAGTCCAATTATAATTATATTTATTTTAATGGTAATATTTATTTACGCTGATCACGGAACTGACATTAAAGATGACCATGTTAAATAATAATCTGTACATTAAGTCAACTAACCACATAATCTCACGATGATAATTAACATTACACTTTATTCAATTCAATAATTTACATTTATTTTTTTATTTTTTCTAATGCTACATTCGTCGATAGAAATAGTATTATTGTTGCGTTTGATCGGTAAAGCGTCTGAATCTGTGAAATATTCACTAGTTTTATAGATCTTTACTAATTTTTAGCTACATGATTTTTAATGCGCATCAAATGTAAACATCTTCATTTGTTTGTTCTCAGCTCAAAGCTACACAATAAGCTACCTGCACTCTGTCCACCACGGGAGATCTAAATTGATTCAAACTGGAAATATAAAAAAAAATTGCCAAATGCAAAACAGGAAATATTTCAGTATGAAGTATATTATATAAATTTTTGAATGGAACTTGTTTTATAAGAAAGTAGAAACAGCGTAATAACAAAGAAAAGGCGAATAAATGTTTAGTTTTGGATAACTTAATTTGAAGAGTTAGAATTAGCAAGGCTACTATTATAGTGTTCAGGTGTAAGATCCGACCTCGTTATTAAATAAGTATTTTTTATCAACTGGTTCTATTAGAAAACACTGGTCATATTCAGAAAATCAAATATTAGAATTTTTTTCTTGTTTTCCTTCTAGTAACTGTGGTGTATAAGTACGTAAATACAAGACCTCCTTGATGCTGAAACGTCTCTTCCTACGTTAACTTATCTATTTTTGCACGCACTGAGCTGCCAAAATTTACTGTGGCTAAGAATAAAAGGACGAGTGGTTTTGGTTAAATTATAGAAGACTTTTCTTTGTTTAGTATTGCTATGTTAGGCTATTTATTATACACATTGGCTAACATCTGTATGAACACATTGGTTGGCAATAGCATCTGGTTTACTAGAAAATGTGATATAACAAAATTTAACCGTAGAATGAATAACCAACATTCTAAACAAGATGTATAAATATTGTTCATAATTTTGTCCGATTTTCGCATTTTTGTCTTTGAATTATGCAGTTGACTTTTAAGGCATCCTCTCCGTTTAATTTCTTTTAAAATTATCTATTTAGATAATTGATAATATATTTTTATTTATTCTCATCCATAGAGGTAGGTGATTTACGTGTTTATTTAGTTTTTCTATTTTTTTTATCACGTTGTTTTACTAATATACGTTAGCCTTTCGTCATATTACAGACTTATATTTTTATAGTTTTGTTTTGAGTTTTCTTACTGATTATAAGTATTATTCTATTATAAGTTACATCTTTTACAGTAAGGAATGATATTGTTGAATGTTGATTTAAATACTAACACCTTCTTTATCGTTAAAACTTGTGTGGTTGGGAATGATCGCACCAGTGGTCGAAACGTCGTACCTGTTTTGAAAATATTCTTCCTTACTGTAAAAGCTATAACTTGTAATAAAATAAAATTTATACTTGGTTTGTTTGTTTTTTACTTACTTCAAATTAATTTTAACTTGTGATAACTGGCATTTTAATCTATTAATCATGAAAAATGATGTTCATAACAGATTAGGTTTTCACACTGACAGCTAGCTGAGAGTTAGACCTACAATTGAAGCGCCATGCTTCAATATACCTCACATTAACTTTAATAGCGAACACATTGTAAGTACTAAATTTAACCCTCCTTTACATTCTTATTATTTTACAGAATATCTTTATGTACTAAAATTTGAATCGATAAAGCCTAATTTATTGTTTTGGAAGGAAATGAGTAAATTTGAAATAGCTTTTTAAAACATATACAATGTTAAAATTGTCATTCCTAAAAACAAGACAGTCCTATAGATATCAAAAAAACATTTTTAAATAGCCCCTAAAAACAGAACTTTTTACAAAGAGATAATATTTTCGTATTAAAATTTTCCTAGGCTACTTATTGTTTATTATGAAAAACAAACAACAAAAACAAAAAAAAAACCCTCGCCTTCATCCATATGCTTGGTAAACAGAGTTTTGTTTCATTTAATTGTTATGAGTTTAAGGTGTTAGTTATATTAAAAATATTATATATTATTCTTTCAAATCTTCCCTGGGTACCTAATGTTACATTTACAACAAAACATAAATGTCACAGTAAATTACTTTGGTGTACATAACATGGATGGGGGGGGGGGTAGTTACAGTGTTATGGCTGTTGGAATAACGTGTTTGCTTAAGCTGTGACGAGTTTTGGTTGTAATACTCCCAATACTAATACTGCTTCTTAGGCCCACCAACCGTCCTAGCGGTAGTAACGGAGCCAATAACTCCAATAACGATAGGCCTTTTCCTGTCGGTCTAGCCGACGATCAAACTGGAGATTTTCATTTCGACAAAACAGAGATGAAATACGATTCCACGGGCATGTTTCACTGGTGTACGGCACGCCCAATTGAAGAATGTATTTTGGTAAGCTTTTTATGTTGATTCAAAAAAATTAACATTTAATTTTTAGAATGTCTGCCTTATGAAGGATAAAAACTAAAATTTATCATTAAAACAATAAAATAAAATACTTTGATACAAATGCGAATTTGATACAAAAAATACGATTAGTAATTGAAAATGTAAATCACTTTAAGATTATATTGTCTAATGTTTGTACTCATGAGTCAATCTCTTGTTATAAGTCCATAATCTTACGAGTTAATTTATATATAATCAAAACTTTCAGTAGTGAAAAATATTGGTTCTAACAACTAGCTACCTTTTTTAATCCAACAAGAAAAATTACTGTTCTCACAACTTTTTAGTGCCTCACCTAAGTATGCCAAATTAACTTAATGAGAAAGTGTGCTGTATTACACATATTCTGTTTTAATTACTTGGTTTTTGCCATTTTCGTTACGTTTAGTTTATCTTTAATTTGAACTCTGAGCTGCCGTTGAAAACCGCTTATCAAAAGGCGTATAGAAAGTGAGCATGAAACTCAAGTAGGGCCATCTGCGGAAAAACAAAACACGTCTCGACCGGTTGGCTTTCTTCCAATATTTTTCGGAAAAAAGTGTTATCTATTTAAAGTCATGATTCTACTACAATGCAATGTTTATGTTTTTCTGGCTTTAAGACATTAAGACAAAGCATAAATGTTGGTAGACGCGAGGATCATCACATGTGGGATTATTGTGATAGAAAGGTAGTTTCATTTTTAAAAAGCGCCTTAGGGGTAATGGTAAGGGGATTAATCCTTTGTCGGGGCTGGCTTGACGTGGAAAGGTATCAGTTTTGATATTTATAGATGCAAAAGTTAGTTTACAACATTAATATATCATCGTCATTTTTACTGGTGTATGCTCAGATATGTAACCTAATACTGGTAACTTGCGAAGTCAAGAATTCTGCATGGTACAGTGTACTATATAGATTTACATGAATTTTAATTTAATCGGTAATTTAAGTAGAATACCTTACACTGTGAAGAATCAAACCCCTCGTCACCTTTAAAGGGTAAGTCAAAACGTTACATTCTGAGAACACAGGTGGATGATGTAATATTATAATTAATTATAAATATTGAAAACAGTTAGACTTGGTATTTTTAATTGAGTTTTTTCGTTTTTCATTGCTATTTATAACCTAAAATTACAGACAAGCCGTAGCACAACTTTTTGTTGAAATTCTAATATAATGTTTGGTCATCCTTTTTAGGATCGAAATCAGGCAGCAATGACAGTTTTGAATGGCCACGTGGTTGTTTGTCTTTTTGCTGATCCCGACTCGCCTTTGATTGGACTCCGGAACTTGGTAATGCCTTTGCGTGCCAGTAACTTTCATTATCATGAGTTGAAGCATGTAGTAATCGTGGGAAGTGTGGAATACCTGAGACGAGAATGGAAGATGATTCAAAACCTGCCCAAGATTTCAGTGTTAAACGTAAGGTGTCTTAAAATTTTCGTTAATGTATATAGATATATAATTTCATTGTTAAACAGCAATTTTGTTTTTATCAGAGAAGAAATATTAGTGTTACACATACAAATAATTTGCTTAAAGGCATCATTCAAACAGTGTTAATCATAAAGACATTTGTTACGAATATGCTAATTCTCTTGGTTATATATTTTGTAAGACAATATCAACAGTCTCTTCAAGACTTTCATAATTTTGTATCGTGAAACATTTGAAATGATGTATGAATTTTAAAGAAGACTCTTAAATCAGTTTTCAACACAATAAACTTTATTCAAAAACATGTCGAAAGTTTACTTTGACCATTTAAAACGTATTTTAAAAATGTTCTCAAAATTGTGATCATAATCTGCCTTAAATAAAAATTTAAGAATATCTTATTAATAATCATTAGTAGTTTTGTTTTTAATAGTGTTTGGTAATTTGTGTTCTCTAAAAATATATCATAGCAACTCCAAACTTTATTACACTTAGAAAATTTAAATATAAAGATATTTGATATTTGGTTAATCAAAATAGTAATTCGTAACCTTCAAGTACAATTATGAAACAAAACTTGTGTGCAAAATGTATGTGCTATGAGAACCCTTATCAACTTCATGTCTCTCACCAATGAAACTTATGTTACGATGCAAAGTGTCATAAATAGTTGAAAAGATCTCGGTCAAAAGTCTTTGCAACTTTCTTAATCGTTAACAGGGGTCGCCACTGAGCCGAGCTGACCTTCGAGCTGTGAATATTAACCTATGTGATATGTGTGTAATTTTGTCGGCTAAAGTACCCAGTAGTGAAGACCCAACTTTAGCTGATAAAGAGGCAATACTTGCGTCACTGAATATCAAGGCAATGACTTTTGATGACACAATTGGAGTGTTGACAAACAGTAAGTTTTTAGGTGATTTTATTCTATGCAGATAAATAAATTGATAGATATTCGTTGAGAAAGATACTGCCGGCACTGAAAACTACTTTAATAAATATATAATTAGAGATATGAAATTTTTCTAGAATATTCAGGTGATTCAAGGTTTAGGGACTGTGGACTACTAGAAAGGACTGCTATCTGTTCTTGCTACCTAGTTTTTTTTTCTGCAGATGAGTCATTTTACTTTGCCTAATCCTCGACTATGGTTACGAATAACCCTGCCTTTCTTTTGTCTGAAGCTCTAGTCTCTCTTCCCTGGATCATATATTTTAAACTCTTCCTATCCTCTTGTCTAATAATATTGTTGAACACACACCGAACTTATATACGACGACCAAGGAAAACATACTCATCTGCTGTCTTTACCACACTTGTTAGATATACACGACTGTTTTAATTTAAGCATAGCGCAATTGTTAAATTTAGTTATTTTTAGAAGTGATAGTTTATCGCAGGTTTGTTTACGTAACTGTGCGAATCATACGTTGTGTAGTTCAATTGTCGTACATTAGCGAACGTTGTACTGAAACCTTCTAAGTTTTTCTCGAGTATCATTATATCATAATATTTGGTAGTGTGTGGAAAGTTCTAAGTCTCTCGGGATATTCATAAATACGCATTCAAAATGTATTTCAAGTAAGTTAGTACGAGATATAGTTAGATAGATCTAGACTGCGTGGTTGTAAGCTTAGCACACACATGCTGATTCAGTTGCTTTATAACACAATTGACAAGATGAATTATTCTTCTCTGCTCTGTTATTACAATACAATCGGTGATAAGTTCACCACTGATTACCACAGTTGTATCCAGAGTTTTAAATAAGAGCATATAGTGGCGTTTTTTTTAGTGAAATTATCGTAGATTGTATTGTAACAACAGAGTAGAGAAATATAACTTGCCTTGTCCATTGTGTTCTATAGTATTTGAATAAATCTGTGGGGACTTTTGACGAAAAGAAAGATTTATTTAAAACTCTGGATACAACTGTGGTAATCAATGGTGTAACGTAAGTGAACTTATTACCGATTGTATTGTAATAATAGAGCAGAGAAGAATAATTCATCTTGTCAATTGTGTTATAAAGTAACGGAACCAGCCTGTATGGATTTAGACGAAAAGAGACGATTATTTAAAGCTCTGGATACAACTGTGGTGATTAACTGTGTAACGAACATTTGTATATACGTTTGACTTGTTTTAATATATATTATTTAAAAACAAGTGGACTGTGCGCTGGTTGTATATTGTTGAAACTTATTGCCAACAATTCACAGATACCTACTGTAAAGAATCCTGCCCATACATTAAAACCTAACAACATTGTCACATTAGAATATGAAAAGGGAATAAGTACTTACTGACATATATTTAATTTGTGGTATGTATAATAAAACACATTATGCACTTCTACAAGATACAAAGTTGAAATGTTGGTAATCAGTGCCTGTACTTTTCAAAAATTACATCGGAATTTCACCTCCTCTGAATGAACACACGTCCTTTACTGAAGCGTGACATGCCCGTCTGTTGAATGTAATTATTTTCGTACAGAATTAGATCTTCAGAATACACTGTTACTGTTTGCCAAAGTCACTACTTAAACATTGTTTAATGTTTATTTGAAATTAAGCACAAAGCTACACAATGGGCTATCTGTGCTCTGCCCACCACGGGTATCGGAACCCGGTTTCTAGCGTTGAAAGTCCGCAGACATACCGCTGTGCCACTGGGGGACCACTACTTAAACATAGGCAGAAACTAAGAGCTCTTAAATTGTTAAATTTTTACCAGACACAAGGAATATTTGTGAGAAAGTAATATTACGTAATAACTTGTACTAGAAATAGTTGCTATAAATCTTCAATAAAAATTACAGTTAATGATAATTAGTCTTAATTATGCATGACAGGCAAACAAAAGAAGCCTCTTTAACCACTATGCCTTAGTTTAACAGTTGAATGTTTTGCTCTTGGGGGTATTTTCGTCCCTTATCTTAGGATCACCTAACAAGTGTATGTGAAAAAAGTAGTTTTATCATCTTAACGTGGAAGTAATAGCATCATAGTTTGTGTGCATGTATATTGTAATCAGTAAATATATAGGTTGAGTGTACGTCGTTAGGGTAATATTTGGAAGTTTTACTTTTTGTCGTTAAATAATATTTTACTTGTTGTTTAATAATTTATAAATATTTAGATAAATCATTTGAAAAACTGTATTCTAGTGCACCTTTAAATCCATCAGAAAGTATAAAACTTGTGTTCAGATATCGCGTGAAAGTAATTGTTTTGTTTTGAATTTCGTGCAAAACTACATGAGGTCTACCTGGATAGACTAGTGGTAGACTAGAGGGAAGGCAGCTAGTCAATACCATCCACTGCCGTGTCTTGCACTACTTTTTACCAACATACAGTAGTATTGACAATCACATTATAACGCCCCTACGGTTGAAAGGGCGTGCATTTTCGGTGGCGGAGATCCAAATTCGCGACCCACAGATTGCGATTCGAGTGCTCTAACAACCAGGCCATGCCAGGCCTCGTGAAATCAATGACACTGGACGAATGCTCAGTTCAATAAAAACTGTGAGCGAATAATTTAGTTTCAGCAAAACAATACAAAACATTTGTTGTGAATACAAACAACGATATTTTTGTTTCAAACTGTGAAACAACAGTACACAAACATGACTAAAATCACAATGTTATATTATGAGAACATAATGAAGTTAATTCTATGCGTATCTTAAGCATAAAATCGTTTGTTTTATTTTAAGTAATACTTATTTTTCAACGCCACTTTTACGATGTATGTTTTAATCGATGTTAGTCGTTAATTGTTACTGAGGTTACATTACACAATTATTTAAACTTTTTCGTTGTTACTAAAACACAAGAACACAGGCTACTTCTAGGAATAACTGTCGGATCTTTGAATGAGAGAAGACTGAAATACACATTATATATACAAAACGATAAAACCCTATAACCCGAGCGCTTTCGAAAGATAGACTTTTCATCTTCAGAAGCAAACTGGGAATGGTGATGTAACTACATGAGTGATATATAAAATGATGAGTGACGTCATGAAGGCTTCCAGGAAGTGTTTTGTATATTTTTCAATGTACTGTAGAAAGTGTGTCTCATTTCAGGTGCAACACGGCCGGAAACGAGAGCGTTATGTAAAAAAGTGTTAGAGATGTTTTGCTTTACAAATGGTCAAGAAAAACTATAGTTAAGTGTTGCTAAAGTAAAATAAAGGAGACACATGGAGACTGACTGGAAAAGAAATGTTAAACAGATTAATTTATGAAGACAGGCATGAAAAATTATCATAAATAAATAGTAAGTATTAGATATATTAGGGGTGAACATTGAGAGTTCACATTACATGATAAAAAAAAAGTCCGAAAGAGAACAGACCAATGATTGGAGATCATTGATTCCAGGATCTTGAGAACAAACCAATGATCAGATATCACTGATTTCAGGATCTAGATTTATTCCACAAGGTTGAACAGTATTTAGATTAGCAACCCAATAAACTTCTTTTATCTGTCTCTCAGCTTTAGTTTTAAAGTCAGTTTCAATACCAATTTGAGTAACATCATTAATAGAATGACTGGGCTAGTTGAAGTGTTGAGCAAAATGGAGATATTTTTCGGTGTTGATAGAAGACTCATGGTTGTTGAAACGTTCTCCAAGAGTCGTTTGGGTATGTCCTACATACCGATGATTGCATGTTTTACACTGTATGAAGTACATGTGTTCCACAAGTGATTTCTTTGAATATTTTAACGTTTCTCTGGTTGTTCTTGTCAGAAATGAGTCAGTGGTTTTTATGAACTTGTAGGTTTGACAGTGAGCTTTATTACATGAATTATAACCATTCTTTGGTGGGATGTAATTGAGTTTTGTCTGAACAAGTATATCTTTTAGAGTTCTGCTTTTCCGGAAGGAGACAACAGGAACTCCAGGAAAGATCTGTTTAAGGTAATCATTCAGTTGTAGGAGATGAAAATGTATTTTTTCAGAATGCTCGAAACATTTCTGGGTTTAAAATGATAGGTAATAACAAGAGGAATTCTCTTTGCAATTTTATTATCATGAACCATGATAGTGATAAATACTGTAAACGTGGAGTCAAAATAGAGATTTGTAGCTTGAGAAAATAATGTAGACACTATTTCCAGTCTAGTTTGTTCACTTTTTTAGAGTTCCTGGTTGTAGGCTTCAAAATATAATATTTGCATTTTGATTCAACTTGATTCTGTACTTTTTTGACGATCCTATTCACCTTTTTAAATTATCAATTTTTAATTATCTTGTTACTCTGTTTTTAAGATATTTTCCCGCTGAGTGTTTGCTTTTATAGTGAAGGTAATGTTGTCTATCTGTAGGTTTGTTTGTACAAGTCGGTGTGTAAAATTCGTCCTTTAAAAAGACAGTGACGTCAAGAAAGTTAATTTGGGTAGGAGAGTAATTAAAGGTAAACTTGATTGTTTTGTGAAAGGTGTTTGCATATCAGATAAATTCTTTAAATGATTCAAAACCGGCTGTCCAAGTGAAAAATATTTCATCTATGTAACGTTTCCATGTATGAGGTTTTACAGGACTTAATTGTAAAAGCTGGCTTTCAATGTGACTTATAAAAATATTGGCATAATTGGGAGCCATTTTGGTACACATTACAGTACCATTAATCTGAAGGTAATGCTCGTTATTGAATTCGAAGTTGTTCAGAGTTAAGACAAGGCTGGCAAGATCAGTTACTGTTTGGGATTTCGATGGATTAGAAAGAATTAAGGCAGACTTCAGAGCTTCTAGTCCTTCATTCCACATGAAATCAATTGTGGAACACAGAATACCATTTACCATATACAGTGTAAAAAATACAATCACCGGTATGTAGGACATACCCAAACGACTCTTGGAGAACGTTTCAACAACCATGAGTCTTCTATCAACACCGAAAAATATCTCCCTTTTGCTCAACACTTCAACCAACCCGGTGATTCTATTAATTATGTTACTCTCATCGGGATTGAAACCGACTTTAAAACTAAAATTGATAGACAGATAAAAGAAGCTTATTGGATTACTAATTTAAATACTGTTCAAGCTTGTGGAATAAATTTAGATCCTGGAATCAGTCATCTCCGATCACTGGTCTGTTCTCTAGATCTTGGAATCAGTGATCTTTGATCATTGGTTTGTTCTCTGTCAGAAAAATAATTTTATTCATTTATTTTGTTCAGGTAGAGTGAACTCTCAATATTGACTCCTAATATTTCTAATACTTACTATTTATTTATGATCATTTTTCATAAATTGATCTGCTTTCTTTTCTTTTCCAGTCAGTCTCCATGTGTCTCCTTTATTTTACTTTAACAACACTTAAGTATAGTTTTTCTTGACTATTTGTAAAACAAAACATCTCTAACACCTTTTTACACAATGCTCTCGTTTCCAGCTGTGTTGCACCTGAAATGAGATACACTTACAACAGTACATAGAAAAATCTACAAAACACTTCCTGGAAGCTCAGGTGACCTTAATTATGTCACTCATAATTTTATATATCACTCATATAGTTACATCACCATTCCCAGTTTGCATCTGAAGATGAAAGGTCTATCTTTCGAAAGCGCTCGAGTTATAGGGATTTTATCGTATATAGTAAGACTTCTTGAACCTACGTGTTTTTCTGACATCATGTAAAAATATATATGTATGTGTGTGTGTGTGTGTGTGTGTGTGTAATTTTGGTGGTTAGAGCTATGCAATTTTTAAAAGTAATTTCAGCCGTGTACACTGTATACGCTCAGACTATCACGTATTTATTCAAATGATCATACTGAGGAACTTTTTCATTTGTATACTGTAAACGAAGGTAGACTTGGAAAAATGCAGACCATATTTTGCAAAAAAAGTTATTTTACTTGTAGTATTTGCTCATACAGACAGTTATTTTTCAATCATACAAACAAGGAAGATAAAAACACATTTCAACACTGAATAAATGATTTCAATTATAGTATGGTATTATATATAACACATCTGACAAACACGTATTAAGAAGACAAGCAGATAAATGTGCAATAAACATATGCTAAATGCAGACTTAAACATCATACTATTTGGAACAAATACTTTGAATTTTATGGAATAATTTATTTATATGTGGAATGAACAAATCATTTCGTACTTCTTTCACTACTACTATTGTAAAAAAATAGAAACATTTTAGGATAAGTTATTATTTATTTTGGTATTTTACAAAATAGAGGTTTTAGGCTTAGTGATTAGTGACCCAGATAAAATAGACACATTACATAAAATCTTCGAATCTGTAACACCTGCTACACTGATCTGATTTTGTGGGTGAAAAATATTTGGAGTTTGTTTGCACCACTTGTTTTTAAATGTGAAGTTTATTTATTTTTAAACGAAATTTTACATAACACTCAGCTTGAAGTTATGTAAAGTAAAAGTATTCATAATAATATGGTACAACCCTAATTTAATTACCAAATGATGAATGATCCCAAGTAAAATAGATCTTGAGGCTTATTGCTGATTTTCGGTTATTCGAATATTCCATATACCAGAGTTTAATAAATATATGAAACTCAGTATCATAACCTATCCTTTTTAAATAGAGAAAAAAAAATATACTGTTTTAATTTTATCTTCATCCTAATTTGCATATAAGCTTAAATCTTTTTATAACCTTGTCATTTCTTTATTATGATTAATTAAAGTTTGGTAAGAAAAAAGGGTGTGATTATAATTACTGAACAGATATACATGTCAACAGGTACAGTTGACCAAGAAGGATTTTCTCCTTTGGGTAGTCCCATTACCCTCCAGAGAAAAGGGTCTGTGTATGGATCTAATGTTCCACTCATCACAGAACTAGGTACGTAGAAATGTTTCCTAACTCATTCATTATCCAAGAGTTCGTAATGAAGATTAAACTTAGCAGTGTTGCAAGTTGTAAGAAGAGATAGATTCAAAATGAAGCTTTCCTTAAATTATGTACACTTAAGGTTAAGGTTGTCCCAATATATACTACCACATAAATTCTAAATTTAATTCTACCCATCTCAAGAGCTTGGAGACATTCCTCAAACTAGCCAAGTTTCTAACATTTGTTGCAGATAGTAAACTTCACTTATACTAAAGGTAAGTGGAAGAAGATAACTATAGTGTTAGACATTAAAGGACCAGATAGGTTTTACTTTGAGGTAATTACGAGCCAAGGCATTACACAACATTCTATATCAAGGTATCACGAGACCTACCCGTACGTGCCTATAATGCTTTTCTTTTATTCTTTTTTAGTGAACGACTCCAATGTTCAGTTTATGGACCAAGACGACGATGATGACCCCGATACAGAACTTTATTTAACACAGCCATTTGCATGTGGGACAGCCTTTGCTGTCAGTGTTTTAGATTCCCTGATGAGCACAGTATGTTACTTTTCAGTTTTTTGTTACCTTAATTAATCAATTAATCGAAACATTTCCAGAACTCTACTATTATCAAGTTTGCATGAACTTGTTTTCTTTAAAACTTTTCTTTCAACATATTCTCATATCACCGCTATATTAGTTTAAAATGTTACAATGTATTACTAAAATAACCAGGGGTACCTCTTTTAGAAATAAAAAGCTATTCATAGAAATATGGAGACTTGAAATAATATTGAATTTAATTTTAAAGTTATCTTAGTTACATAGTTTTAAGCATCATATTAATTAAAGTTTTGCTAGATTTAGTAAATTGCATTGCCTTTTCTGAATAGTGTACAAACTGTTAAGTGAATTTTTATAACATAAGTCATTTTATATTATTTTCAGACATACTTCAATGCTAACGCCTTAACGTTGATTCGTTCTTTAATTACTGGAGGAGCTACTCCAGAATTAGAGCTAATTTTGGCAGAGGGCGCTGGTTTGCGAGGAGGCTACACAACACCAGACACTATAATTAATAGAGATCGCTGCAGAGTTGGACAAATATCACTGTACGATGGACCTTTGGCCCAGTTTGGAGTAAGAATCCATGACATTTTTAACATTATGAATTAAGCTCCAAGTTAAAGTAACCAGTCTGTACTGAGTTTGTACCTCGGTACCAGTAATTTAAAGTAATTTCTGTTTTGCAATATATTCGTTAGGTGGAAAACGAAATCTAATCAAAAACAGGATCATCAATGGAAAATTAAACATGTGTAATCTTCGGACGTTTCGGAATTTACACATTCTATCATCAACGATCTAAAATGTTTTCATGCAACATAGATACATACGTTTTAAATAGCTGATGATGGAATGTGTACAAACAGTATAATCAGATATGAAACTAGAATAAAAGTATGAAACAACATTTTAAGTGTACGAAGAATACACATTTCTTGTCTTCTGTGAGATGTTTAACACATATATTTCTAAGAAAGTCGTGTAACAACTCTCTTGCCAACTTACTATTCCAGGTCAATTTATGGAATTGTGTGTGTGACTTTCAAGTTGTAATATATTAATATTGAAGAAACTGGAATATTACTGTTTATATCAAATTATAGTTTCTTATTATCATTATTTACCAATGAGACACTCGAGTGATAGAAATATAAAAAAAATCCTAATTTTGCTTTGCAAAATATTTAATTTCTGTTGTAAACCAAAACCACAACTACAATTGAATATTTGTAATGATGAAATGCTTAATTTATCCACATATAAATTAATTGAAACAAAATTTGGTATAGGTTGAGAATTAGACGTGTTTTTGGAAGTAAATTCTAAAATTTCAGCTACAATGAAAGGGATTACTGTGTTCTGTTGCTGATGCTGAAACACAGTTTCCCATATTTTGTCATAATTTTTCTACTGACCGAGTTCTTTGTTTTCACCCTATGCTAGAAATAAAATATTATCTCTCAACTTGTATTTTTTGCAATTTGACGTTACATTTTGTGCGGTTAACAATTGATTTTGACGTAGGAGGGAGGAAAATACGAAGATCTCTTTATAACTGCACTGAGAAATTATGGCATGCTTTGTATTGGCCTTTATCGGTTTCGTGACACCAGCTCCTCCTGTGAGGCATCTTCTAAGCGTTTCGTCATCACCAATCCACCAGCTGAATTTACACTGCTGCCATCTGACGTGGTAAGCAAGTTTTGTTATTAAATCAAGTTTACTTACAAATCATTAATTTTGCTTTGTTAACAACTAATGTCTAAACTAAAAAGTAAATAATATCAATTAATTGACATATTTATATAAGACGATTTACTTCTACCACGTTTCTCTCTCTCTTTCGGAAAGCACATGTTCCCAGTCCAAATAGTTTATTGCAATAATAACTCATTTCCCTTAACTAAAAAAAAAAAAAATACCTTTTGGTCAGGTTTGCTTAGATAAATACGCAAAGGCCTTTAGTTTTGAAAATTTATCTTGATAATAGATCTCTAATAGAAAAACTCAATCTCAAGAGATATTGTGATATTACTAGTACAAGAGATGTCCTTATTAATATTAAATATAGTGTTTTAATAATAAACGTTCTCGAAATGATGAATCTATAATCAATACTCTAGAAATAACTAATGAAAAAGGGCAAAACTTATATCCTATAATCATCAATCTAAAAACACCAGGAAATGGATATTATATGAAATGCATTGAATACTCGCTAAATCTTGGCCACATTTGGTTCTAAACTGTGATCAAGACGTTGATGAGTTTTCCATTCTGAATTATTAGCATGTGTGTTAACTCGGTTTTCGGTGAGAAGCACCACGAAACGTTTATTTCGATAAATGATCAGTTGATATTCTACTTCATCGCCCCGGGTGGTTCAGCGGTAAGCTTGAAGGGCTTATAAAACTAACAAGAGGGAATCGTCAATAGCCGCAGTATTTGAAATTCTTTTAGGCAGAATTTGAGTAAATTAATCTATGAGACCTTTGTTTCCCTAAATTTGATAAATTATAATAGAATTCTATGGTATTGATATAGTAATTTATGATTTTTTTTAGATATTTCGAATGTATATATAAAACCTAAAAAAATTATTTTCTTTCACATCCTCCACGTGCGAAATTTTATAAGGTTTAGCAACCTACAACAAGTAGCAAACAGGTACAAAGGTCGTAACTAGAAGAGATAATTATTTGCTTTACTTCTTTATTTATCGTTTTATGTTTAAAAAATAAGTTTAAGAACTTATTTGTAAATAGTAATAATCTATATACATATATTATGTATAATAATTGAAATGTGACTGTATTTTACAAAATACTAGTTCACTAAAACACAGCTAAGAAAGGTCACTTTGTAAAGACTAAAGGTCGGTTTTATATTATTGTACATGGTAACATGAGTGCACTTGCACTGCGTCACTGTAGCTTCTGTATTGTTAATGTTGAGACAGGCACAGCTGAAAGGTCAATATAATAAAAATAATAAATATATATATAAATGTATAATGTTATGAGATTTAAGCTATTTACTCTAAACAGTTATGTTTTCGTGTTATAATATGTAGTCATTCTAGAACAAAAAAGGCATAATTTATATTTATTTCCTAGGTTTTATGGTGGTTACGAGATCGGTCAAATCGACCAAATCCGTACAGATATTCGTTAGTGAAAAAATAACAAACAAAATAAAAGTTTTTCTTAAAAAACGTTTGACAACTACCTGGACATTATAAAGATTTCACATGTGAAATTTGAAAATTTTCTGATGCATAAAAGTATTTTTAATCTTAAAATGAAAATTACTTTGCATGTTGGATAGGGAATGTGCGAAATGAAAAGGCATGAAAAAAACATTGCTTTAGAAAAAATCAAAATTAAATATCTTATTTTTAAAAAACTACATATTTCTAGGACCTTTCATCTCAAATTCACAAGAATTTCATCCACTGGTTTCATTTTTGAAAATAGCTTTCACGAGAGTTGCATACCTACTTGCAATGAGTCGAAAAACTGTAATTAGATCTCAAATCGGTCAAGAGATGACGAAGCTATGAGCTAAAAGTTTGTACTTGAAAAAATCCAAAAAACTCAGAGTCGTTTATCCGTGGCTAAAAACCGAGGATCGATGCATGTGGTGAATATAGCGCAGATAGCCAATTGTGTAACTTTGTGTTTAACAACAACATGTCTACAGCTAGAGCTTTGCAGACTAAAAACTTAATAGTACACCACCTTACTGGTTATTTTCTCTTGCGGGTCGTGTAACACTAACCTTATCATGAACTGGTGCAACTACGTGGAAAATATTAGAATTCCAACAACGAGAATTTCGTTACCGTAGACACGCTCATCTGTTGCTCCTACACAGCGTCAGGGTTCGTCCACTTAGCTGATCCAATATCGTATAAAACATCTTCAAATACCTTTTAAAAATAATTATAAAATAAAAACCATAATGATTTTCATTACTCGATAATTCTGTGTAAGTATCTTTAGTTAATTCCAATCCAAAGTGCAATTAATTTACAAAGTTGTAGCTAGTTATGCCTTTTTGGAAGCAAATAACCGAAAACATTTACCAATTCTCGTGTCTACAGATAGTGAAATAAAATTAGCTAACTATTTCTGTATTTTAGGTGTACGTGCTCCTCCAGTTCGACCCTGGCATGGAATACAAACCCAACAGAGGAGAAGAGCCCAAAGATGAACGTTCCTGACTCTTATTTTGTAGCGCCTTGACAGACGGGCCTTACTCTTTCATTTGACCAGAAAACTATAAGCTCACGCGATTAGTTAAGAAGTTCACATGTTTTTATTTTTTGTATTAATTCTATAAACAGTCGTTCCAGGTTCTGTAAGGCAGGAGATATTTAACAAACAATGAATCTTCCAGTTCTTGGAGTATTTTAAAAATGAATAAACATATGTAAGTCAGCGCACCAGATGTACAAACACTATGTTCTGTAATTATTACATTATACTCGTAAATACGAAGAATTACATTGTGAAGTACTCGTGAATGTTCTCATTCAGAAAAGTGTGACATGAGCTTGGAAGCTTGTGTTCCTTATTTTCCCGTTTTTTTTAATATTAAAAGTAGCAATTATTGAACATTGTCTTCCAATAAGTTATGCATGTGAACTTCTGTTTTCCTTCATTTGTTTTGTATTTTTAACAACTTTGTGCATTTCTCTGTTCAGCTTAACATTTTAAGTTCAATTGAAATGGTCAAATATAAAGAGTAAGACGTGATTTCTTCAGATTTATTGATTGCAAGTACACTTGATAAATGGTTTTTAGAACATTCCTAACCTTATACAAGAAGCAAATAAATGATTGGTGTAAAAAATAATGCAAATAATTAATATCAAACATCAGATTGAAATAGTAGAATTATATCTCTGAATAGTCAAAGCTGGTTACATAAATCTGAAGGGAGAAAAAATCGTCAAGGACGCTACAAGAACAGACTTACACGTTTTAAGAACTAAAAAAAAAAAGGTTGCTACAAGAAACAAAGTATACTTATACTGGTAATAGTTCACCAGATGTGAAACCTTTCCCACTGATCTCTGCAATATTATTTACACGTTATTGGAAACTGTATGAACGTCATATTTATAAAATGGCGAACTTTAGTTTGATCACTACACTCGATTAATCATCTAAGTGTTATAGTTTGTTTGTTTTTGTTTCTGTAAAATTAACAGGGCTACACCTCTGGAGCACTTTATTCTTGGGTATGTAAATTTAATAGTTGTGTTGATCAGAAACTCTTTGTATATTATATTCTTTTCTAGATTCCACCTTTTCTTACTTCCCTCACTCCTGTACCGCTGTCCTTATAGCTTCTGATCTGTGGTTTGTTTTATTATGTTATATTACATATAGTAATTCACTACGTGCAAGTGTTAAGGTACGTATTTATTTTTCAATACTAATGCAATAACGGCGTCTACGTGTAAACGTGAATAGACGTATTTATGTGGTTCTCATTATACTGGGAAACCATGTGCTTTGTGCGAGCCCAATCATCACTCCATCTTTGTCTATATTATGTTTGGGTAAAACAGAAAACCTATGTGGATATATATATGCACGGAACGAAGAGGATTTTTATTTCTATACGAAAAAAAAATCCTGGATAGATAATTTCTCTTTGATTACTGTAAGTTTGTACATTCTCTGTACATAGAGATGTATAGATTGTACTCTTCTAAACTTCAGAGTTCAATATTGATGTATATACTTAAGTGTTTGTATGTAACTACATTGGCAAGTGTGTGTCCTTACGTCTCTCTATACATGCATAAAACGTAATTACTGAAGCAAACTTGTTAACATTGAAACAAATCTGTAAAATCGAAAGTTGTTGCCTGTTGTTGTATTCTTTTGTTTTGTGCGATAAAATCGATAGAATAATTTTCATAAATAGCAGAAGACTACCACAAGTTGTAAGAACATTCCATGAAATGAAAGACGCTTAAACGACAGTTTTCCCGCCATTTGTAGCCACGTTTAAGCTATTACTTGGTGTTTATAATCTGCTGAACTGTTATTCAATAACACTTATAGAACATCGATTATGTATTTTATGACAAGTGTTATAACTATCTTTATAGGATGTTTAACTGTTTGATGAGAAAAAAAGTGATGCAGTTAATAATATGATAGAATTACTTTTTATTTGTAATTAATGTAAACAGCGTCGGCGTTACAAGTCTATTAACATTTCCAATGTTACAGTGGGTTAATTTAGGACTATTGGTTAGTGTTAAATAGAGAAGTTAAAAATAACACGATAGAAGCAATTGTTATTTAAAACTGTAAATACACGTAAAAAGTAAAAAAAAATAAAGGGTGTCCAGAAATTATGTAAACAAAATTGTTTACTTGTGTTCCCGAATTTATCATATAATTTTCTGACGCCCTCTATATTAATCGTAGAAGCAATGTACTTCAGATGGTTTGAGCCACTGTTGCATAAAGTTTAAAACAATAGCGGATTATGTCGATCCCTTCATACTCGTAAGGAAGTATTTACAGACTTTATGATACTTAAAATATAAAAGCTGTTTTCAAAGTAATATATACTTTATATTAAAGTCAGTATCAATCTGGGAAAAGCTGAAATACACTTAAGGATGTTAAAAAACTTTAAACACAATCTACATATGTACAGTAATTGTTAAATTTACGGTACCCACATTGACATTAAGAAGTGGTTAACTTGCGGTATAGTTTGATATTCTATAAAATTAAAAGAAAAGACAAACAAACATTTTATAAAATACTCATAATTATTTCGTTTTTCAAGTCCTAAAAATCTATATATATATATATATGCGTTTGTGAAAACAAATATCGTATTTAAAGGCACCTCTCAGAAGTATCCATTACTAAAGCAAACAGTAAGATACTACAATAAACTAAGTTTTTTGTAATTTCTCCCATTGCTTTAGCCCTAATAAACATCAATGTTGTGTAAGGGAGTATTTAATAGTAGTGCCTGTGCTGTGCTGAGACAATCTCTCTTAGTAAGTACTTTATAATAACAATAGTGTATGGTGTTCAATAAGAATGGCATCGGTATAAATGGTACCATTAATAATACAAGGTAGGAACACAATGGCATACTAAAAATGACACCATTAATCACACTGATAAAAATTGTATATGTAATAAAAGGCGGGAATAAGTTTTTCAGGTTTACATAAAAATCATAAACATATTTTGTTTTCTGTATTTTTTGGTTATGGTAAGAAATAGTGCCATTTTCTTCTCTTTATACTATTAGTGGTGCAATTTCAACTGGTGCCATAATTATCGGATTTATTTTTTCCGAGATTCATAGTATAGTAACCATAAATATTGTGTGCAAGTATGTCGGAGAAGCTGAGACATTTAGTTATGTAAAGTTCAAATTATACAGGTGAAGTATTTGTTTAAATTTTAGAGGTAAAAGTTGTTTGATGAATTGTGGTTTATGCCATACAGATAAAGTTTTATGTATGGGATCAATGGTTAGTTGTTCAATTAAACTTTGAAGTAGATATGTATATATATGTTTAAGCTTGGCGTTATATGCATTAGAATATTATTAAAAGAGTTTAATGTCAAAGTGGTTAGACAACTTTATACTGCAGCTAGAAGTAAAGTTCATAACTTTATGAATGATAGAGTTTATATTTCTAAAACCAAATCTGCCCCTGAGGTCGGTCATTTTATTTTTCGTGTACCATGTTATCAGTTTCCTATCCTAATGCTAATCTTTTTAAGAGTAGTATAAGAATAAGTATACTAAAACTTGTTTATGAAGAGAGACGGATGCTATGAAAATAAATCGTTAACCAAACAATATTTTAATATGTTGAAAGAAAATCCGATTTATGGTAAATATGTAGTGATAAAAATGTTTTCATTAAAGTATGTTATTGTTTATGGAAAAATAATAATAATTGCAGCGTTCTAATTGTTGGTTGTCCTGGGTGGAGTGAAAATTAAGAAGTATTGCATTTAGTTCCTAAGGGCATAAAACTGTCATCAGTGAAATTAAAATGGTTGTTAAAAAGTCCGAGTGAATCTGTTGTGAGTTATATTAAAAGATCAACTGATAACTATTTAGCTTCATATTTTTTTTTGTTTCAGGTTTAAAATAAGCACCTTGTACTTTGTGACACTCATCGAACTCCAATTGGTGTTAAATTATATTTTGATTAATAAGAGGGTTTTAATAATTTGTTTGCTCAGAAATATTGTTTTACAATCTCCATTAAAAACTAACTTTTCAATGGCCTTAATATTCAAACACGTTACGTGATATTAAAATATTTTCATATGTTCTACTATAGGCTACTCAAGTAACACTAATATTTCAAACATTTTAAAAAGGTTCTTTCTATACTGACTTGTATGAAAAAAGATACTTTTATAATTATATTATGGAGGTTTATGCATTATTCGATTTTTTAATCATTTTATGGCTAGCAATAAGTTTCTAATAAAACCCAGAATTCTAACATGTGAACATATTTTATCCTATATTGGGGAGTTTTTGTCACAATATAGCATCATAAAAATAGACCGACTGAGTTGCTACAGACAAGTTAGAAGATAGAAAAGTATCTATGTCAAATTGTATTACAGCCAGATAAACAGATAAAACGTAACGAGCTTGAAACACAAATGTAACTTTTTGTGTAGGAAATTTTGAGTCATACTGACAAAAGTATTAGCTGATTAAGATCATGCTTGACGAGCGTTTCGAAGAGAAGACTGTTCAGTGAGCTCTTATAATCTCAATGCACTCTTTGTTGGATCAATAAAAGATGTCTCAAATGTTTATTTGTCTCGCCTAATAATATTTTGCTTATTTAAATAGTTAAACATAAAAGATAGAAATAAATTTTCAAAACTTATCAGAAAATTGATCAAATACGTTTAATTATAATCTCATGAACTTTGAATGAAAGTTATTATGTAACCGAAAGGTCCTCAGTAGTTTTTTGTTCAGTTGTGAACAGCCATGAAACTATTTTAAATTACTAAACTATATACACAAATATGTAACATTTTTACCATTGTATTTTTATATTTTTACCTACCTTGATAATAGACATGGAACGATATTCGAGTTGCTGAATTATATACATGTATATGTGATCCTTTTTTATGTTCTCAGTACATTTTTACGTTTTGTATCTGCCCAACGTACTTTTGAACAAACTGGAAATCAGTTATAATGTTATGTTATGTTATGTTATAATGTTATGTTCTCACTAAGCAAAACTAGCTATGTAACTTAGGAAGTTCAGATAAATTTAATCACAAGACACTTATTATGAAGAGAAGAAAAATAAAGTTTATTCGTTAAAAACATTGGCACATTTAAGTTTCAAGCTAAGTTTTAAGAAAGTTTGTTGTCAATCAGTATAGACTGTTTATAGTATACCTGAAGTTTTACACGTGTTATAATTATATTACACACACACACATACACGCATATATATATATATATATATATATATATACATATAATACAGCCAGTAAATAATACTAACATAGGAAGCAATCACATTTATGTTAACCTTCTGTGATATAAACATATAAATTCAAAATATGTATACTTCTTAACATTATCATTTACTATTAAAAACTAAGGGCTGAGATGTGTTATTTGACATCAAAATAAGCAAATAAAAAAAGTGTAATTAATTTTTTTTCCAGAAATTCAATATATATATATACGGACTTTATAATCCTTAAATCCGGGGTTCGATTCCCTCTATGGACAGAGGTCAGATAGCCCATCATGTGGTTTTGCGCTAAAATAGCAACAACAAAGCTAGGTTGACTTTTAAAGATTTGGTAAGAAAATACTAAACATTTATACAACTGCACAGTTCAAAGACAATCAATATTTAGAGTACTTCTCATAAGTAGTTCACGAACTAGTGCAGTCATTTTGTCATTCACTGACAATGATAAACGTAATTCAAACTTTTGCTATCATCAGTTTTAAAAGAAAATTGACAGTTCACGCTAATGATAATTTCGCGGCACTCAAAATAAATATAATGTCAATCTTTCTGCACTTGCAGGTGATAACCTAAAAAAAAATATTTTCAAAGAAAGCGATTCATCGCGAAAGCAAACTTAGAAAGGTTTCTGTGAAGGTATTTTGAAGTTTGAAAGATTTAGGGAAATTTGTATTTGAATTTATGGCAAAGCTACTTAGGATCTCTTCGGCCTTAGTCCCTAAATAAGCCACCCCGGGCTGTAGAAGTTGGACTTTTTTATTGTGTTGTGATATGCAGCTAAGAGAAATTTTAAGATACAGAGATGTGTTTGAAGTACGGAAATGTTGCTCTAAGACACATCAAAAGCTTTCAAATGAGATGTATATCCAAACTCCAAGAAAGAAAATAATATTCTTTGATCCTGAGTGTTTTTACACATTTTCGAAAGGACACTAAAAACAAACTTTACCATTATTTGTTCCTTAAGTATCTGTTTTCCATTGTGATGTAGAAGTTACAACATGTTTTCCATTGTGATGTAGTAGTTACAACATGTTTTCCATTGTGATGTAGTAGATACAACATGTTTTCCATTGTGAAGTAGTAGATACAACATGTTTTCCATTGTGAAGTATAGTTACAACATGTTTTCCATTGTGATGTAGAAGTTACATGATGTAATAGTTACAACAACTCTCTGTCTTCGACTAACTGTTTTCAATATATTTCTAAAAGACAAAAAAAAAGTCCAGAATCCCAGTATGTATTTTTTGATAACGACTTTGATACGAAAACAAATATGGCGAAATAATTAAGGTTGTTGTTAAGCACCAAGTTATCAGTAGTTTGCTTAGCGCAGGCATTGAAACCCGATTTGTAGCGTTATAAACTCTTAGACTTACTACTGATCCACCAGATGGGGAGCAAAATAATTAAGGAAAATGAAATTTCCTATCAGAGTTATCCTCATATATCTAACTACATTATAATATCTGAACGTTTAAAACAAGGTAATTATATTTTTCGGTTATTTGTTCTTCACGAGTTTACAAAATATATTACCATTATACAATGTATGTAAACAACAGAAATTAACATCTAGTGCTAACCAATTGAACACAAAGGCAAAACAGCAGAGCATTTATTATCCTCAGGATTTTCTATTGAAAAGATCTCAGGTAAAACTTACAACTTTATTTAAACATTGTTTTTGCAAGCAAAGTGGTCGATTAGATAGACATAAAAACGTGTATTCGCAAAAGAAATGACTGGAACTAATTCTGTAGCCACAGCGCATAGCTTACGTTCGAAGACCTATCAACAAGTATATCTTTAAATCAGCTATCAGTTCGGTTTTCTAGCGTGGTAGTTAGAAGATTTGTATTTAAAATATTTTTATTGTAAATATTAGTAAAAAATAATAATCAACGGGTGTGATTTTTTCTAAACTATGTTTGACTGCTCAAACTATTTCTACAATCAAATAAGGGCAGATAATGAATGATCTTGAGAAAAATGTCGGGGTGAACGGGAGAATCACCTTCAAGCAATTTGGCAACAAAGGCATCTATTGATAAACTCAGTGATGTAAAGGGGGACGACGCTTCCTCAATTCACTATCTTCGGATAACTCGAGTTTTTAGTATTTTACCAAAGGAAGGCATCCAGTTCTTGAGATATGACAAAGGCAAATTTGGGAACAGAAAACATGTCGAAAAAATAATGTTTTTAACGTTATGAAACAAAAAAGGTGTCCAACCTAAAAAATTACTACTATCCATAGCTACCATAAGCTATTATTTGTTTTCAAAATGCATACGACTGAGAAAAAAAATCAATAAAATAAGCTGAACATTTATAATGGGTAAAATATATATATAACCCCACGTAAAACCTTTAAAGTTTTGGTTTTGTAGTTTTATGTCATATTGCATCAACATTTTTTTATCCTGTATTACACCTTCATTTACTAACGATTGTATGAAATTAGAGATTACTGGAAAAAAAAAGAAGAAAATAACTTTAATAAGTTTCGAATTCTAAAACGATAAATATATTTAAAAGTATTTTAACCCTAGAATTACCGAGTTAATCTGTGGACGTCAGCATGGACCCCATTCATGTTTTAAGCATATTTTTTGAACTATTTATGCACCGAATTGCTTCTGGGTCTATCAGTTTGTTGGTTTCTGGATGTGTTGTACAAAATGAGTTAATCCATACCAGTTCTTTTGGCCAGTTTTTTAACACTGAATGATGTAACAGGTAAAAATATAAAAAACTCAATATGATGCAAAACATGAACCCCACATGCAATGAACAGTATAAAAACAAGTCGGTAATTTGATAGTTAAAGCACCTACTTTATTTTATCCTTTTTTTATGTTCGCTTAAGGAGTATTTCAAAGTTACTTAAAAAAATTATACCCCCCCCCCACCCCAATATGACTTAAGTATTTTTTACACAAATATAGAAGAGTTAATAATGCAACGAGCGTTTGATCAGATTAAACATTTTAGGTACCACTGAGAAGATTTAAATATGTATAGTAAAATAACTGATCAGATATAGTTATTTAGTTTCATTTATAAAATGTTTTATTCATTTATTATCAAATATTAATCTATTGTGTTACTTTAGCATCTTCATTTTCATTTGAGATTATGTAATATTTTCATTATATTTATTTAGTCGAGTCAACAAGCCTGGAACTTCAAATTATTTATATCTCGAATTATATTCAAGTGACAAGATAAATTTTCTATTAGTCATCCCAACTAAAATAATTAGAAGTTGTCTAAAAGTGATAACCAGCGTTAAATTACTCTTCCAATTATTATAAATTTTTTCCCACAAGAGGTGGAATAATACCGTAACGCAACCACTAGATGGCAGTGTCAGTATGTTGTTAAATAAAAAGATATATCCTGCATTGAAAATCGTATGCTTCCTTATTTACAAAAGGAGGTGTAATGCATAGTAAAAATGAGCATATTTACTCAAACTAGCAACATTTATTCTGATAACAAAACTAAAAATAAAAAGCAATTCAAACAAACTTGGTTAAACAGTATAAATGTGAAAATGAAGACGAAGAACGCCAGTTGTTTCGGTTAGGATGCAATTATAGACTAAGAAATCTAAAATGTTACAAGTATAACAACCGTTTGTTTGTAATTAAGCACAAAGCTACACAATGGGCTATCTGTGCTCTTCCCATCACGGGTATCGAAACCCGGGTTCTAGCGTTGAAAGTTCGCAGACATCTACATGGCCTCTGATTTTCACTAGAAGTTCCTGAAAGGAAAACAAGTAAAATTTTATCGGTATATCTTTCGAACAACTCAGAATTTTTCTGAAAATATTGTATTTATATAGTTGTTTTAAGGTGTACATTACAAATACACTGTCGAATATGTCGGCGTGGAACCGAAACAGTCGTGAAATTATCACTAAGATCACTTCTGTCATGTTTGTTTGTTGAATGAAGTTGAAATTATCATTAAAATAAAGTATGTTCTAAAGAATCTAAATGAAAACTTTGTTAAAACTGAAAAGTTAAATTGGGTGCTTAATTGGTAACTTGGTCAACTGATTAGAAGTCTTGTGAATAAAACTTTGTGAAAAAAAGTATTTTGCTGTTTGTTATGGCATCTATTTCATTTGAAACATTTAAATTTATGAAACCCTTTTTTATTTGTCGCTACAGTTAGGAGATACTACAATTATTTACTAGAAAAGGGTTTTTGGTGTACAAAACTTGAAGATAGCATTTATATGCGGAAATATCTGTTAGCTGAGTTCTTGCACAGTTCTTAAAAT